AAATAATACCCCTATGGGAGTTTTGGAGATCAAGTTTGTCGTAGAGCCATGAAATTTGGTACACATGTTCCTCAAGTCAAGACAAGAAAAAAATATTATTACGGCTCCGCCCTCTGACAAACAGGAAGCCCATGAATTTCACTGCAAAACGGAAAAATTAACAGCAATAGTTTTTATACATGTTGGTTGGAAATCTTCTCCTCCTCGGCCGTCTCACCGATTCGTCTCAAAATTGCTCCACATCATCTCAACACATGTACCATCAAAATGACGAAAAGGATTTTTGATCAGTGAAACGTTGTTTGAGCAGCGGAGCGGCAAAATTTGACCTTTTTTGGCCGTTTTTGACAACATTAAATATGCTCCCCTTTGCACATACAATGTCTAATTTGCACAAAACTTCAATACATTGTTCAACTCTAGGGTCTAGGTCATTTGAAAGTGAAATGTTTGAAATTGACACATTAGCGCCCCCTAGAGACTATTTCAAAATTTTACATGGGAATTTTCAAATGTATTTTTTTCAAAATCTGTTTTGCCCTTTTGATTCAAAAAGTCAATAGGGCCCAAGGCTTGTTTTTTACCCTGTTGCTGTGGTGACGACAAACTCTCCCCATTCATTGTCTATGGCAAATGTACACGTCGCACAAACATCAAACCATGCCTCGGTCATTTCACAGATTTGGCCGAAAATCGCTCCACATCATCTCAACACATGTCAAAATGACTTCAGGGAATTTTGATCAGTGAAACGGACTTTGAGCAGCGGGTCGGCAAAATGTGACCTTTTTTCCCCATTTTGACGATAGAAACATAGCTCCCTTTTGCACAAACCAAGTCCGAATTGCACCAAATTTGAGGGTTGTTCAACTTTTGGGTTTGGGTAAACTGAAAGTGTAAAACATTAAATTGCAGCAATAGCGCCCCCTACAGACTGAGTCAAGTTTTACATGGGTGAGAATGGCATTTACTTAGTTTGATTTGCACTAAACTTGACTCTGTTGTTTGTGCACCGCTGTGTGCATGTGTTCTAGCTCAGAAAGTATGTACAAGTTTTATATCCTCGAGTCAAAATGACCCAACACAGACAATTAAAAGAAGAAAAATTAAAGCCGCAAGCGGCGTCGAACGGTCCTCGACAGGGCGGAGTTGCGCGGTGCAGTGCGGCGCGGCATGGTGTGGGGCAGCGTGGTGTGACGCGGCGTGGCGTGGGGCGGCGTTATGCGCGGTGCAGGGCAGCGTGGTGTGAGGTGGCGTCGTATGAGGCGGCGTGGTGCGGGGCAGAGCAGCGTGGTGCGGGGAGTCGCATGGTGCAGGGAGTCCCGTGGGGTGGCGTGGTGCGCGGAGTCGCGCGGTTCAGTGAGTGGTGTGGTGAGGACCGTTCGACGTCGCTTGCGGCTTTAATTTTCTTCTTTTAATTGTCTGTGTTGGGTCATTTTGACTCGAGGATATAAAACTTGTACATACTTTCTGAGCTAGAACACATGCGCACAGCGGTCCTAAAACCTGTTCTGTAGCAATGTCCACTCGACAGATCACCTGTTGGCCTTGGACAGAATACTGTATTTCAATTTCAGTATTGATGTATGGTGGTGGTAATAATAATGAGTGATAGTTTTAAAATATGGAACAAAAAATCCAAGAAATTTGTTGCATAGAAAGAGCAGGCACATATTTACTCTCGCAGTATATTTCTCATTTTAAAACATGATATGACAATATAGTCTGATTCTTTTCAACAGCCAAAAGTAATGCATATTTCTTATTTAAGGTCCATTTGTATTGTCCCTGTACAGCTACTGTATTTGTCCTTTGCATCTGACCCACGCTTAAATGCCACAAGGGCAACCAGTCAGGAGCAGTGCCCAGGGACGCATGCATCTCCAGTTGTTGATGTGCAGTTTTGTTTAGGATTAGCTGCGATGGTGTATTTGACCTACGGTGCATGTTTTGGGAAACTGGAATTCCTGGAGGAAACCCTAATACCAGGGAGAAACATGTCAACTCCACACCGAAAGGCCAGAGCGCTACCCCTTGAGACCGTTCCAGTCTGTATTGACTTTTGTTTGTGCAAGCTGCGAATAAAAATCTCAAAACGCCTGACAAAACAGGATTACTCAGGCATGCATGTATCAAAAGCCAAACATTTTGCATAGCGTCCATTTTAAAAACCACTGTTACAACACAGTCAAGACCTTATTCAAGTGATTGTTCATAGCATGTCCCCTTTAAATCTGTCATATGTTATAAACCAAAAAAAAAAAAATCCCCTTAAACATTTGTTGAAGGCTTTGCAATAACAGCACTTTGACGCTGAGACGTTTTGAAAGCTAAAGTAGGAACACGGCGTCCAGTGAAACGTCTCTCCTCTCGGGCAGACGACAGGATGTGCTCACCTGAAACTGGACACGGGCACACTGCTGTCACCCGTGTCCCAACACTCGCCCCCGGCCTCCGAAAGGTCACCCAACGGAACAACAGGAAAGAGGGATAAAGTGAGGGAGGGAGGCAGGGGAAGTAATGCTGCTGGACATGTTGCATATTATATGGTACGACAGGCACCGCCCTGCAGCTTCAGACGTATACATTGCTTAACCAAATAATTACACAAACAGGAAGTTATTATTGTACCGGTTTCTAGCTGCAGATTTTTTTATTTTATGGATAGAAGTGTTAGCAGCTTATGGCTTGCAGATAGTGGAAATGTTTGTCGACTTTAGGAGGTACAGTATATATATGGACTCAAGACACTGGTTCAAAATTTAAAAGCTTAAAGTTGGGGTACCAAACTTTCAAGTCATAAAAAAAGCAAAACTTCACTAGTTTTAACATGGATGCATTTTTGGTCTCTGTCACATCTCTAGATCAGCTTTAGACAAAAATGTAAATTAAAAAAAGGACTATACAAAATCAGTTCTCAACTGTGGGTCAAAAAAGATTTGACTGACGTGTTCAAAATTTGGTACAGAAATCAGACAAAGATTCTCCAAGTTTAACATCTGTATTTAATTTATCTTGACAATCAGATACAGAACATTCAAACAAAAGAGCTCCTAAAACTATGCTATGCTGTCCCTCTCTGGCCCTGCGCTGACTGACTCCAAGCCTCCAGCCCAAGCATAAAAAGAGCAGATGTCCAGGAAGAAGGGGGCGTGTCGTATCAGGCAGCTTCCGGTCCAGGGTCCGGCCTTTTCCTTCGTCTCGCCAAACCTAAAACAGAAATCATTCACACACACACTACCCCTCCCTAATTCTATAGAAATATTACTTCCTTGAGATAAGACAGGAGGCTTTTCAAGGTCCACCTCCTTCTTCAAACAACGAAAGGATTAGCAGAATCCCCCCAGATTAACTATCATTAACTCATATTTCTGCACTTTTGGACTACCAAGGAACAAGGGGAGACCAGGTCTTTTTGCTTGGGAAAGAGACAGAGTTCAATTCCGGGTCAATCAAATTCACATCTGCTTTTAGTCTATATTTAATACAACACAACCCAGAGTGTCAAATATTGACTCACAGGGTTCTTTCTTACAGGTATGCTATAGATAACAGGTTATGTTGGATAAAGATAAATTAGTCAAACATGCTCACATTTTGCAAGACTTTCAACTAACATGTATGACAAGGTTTGGTACCTCATGTCTAATTTTATTTGTAGAGCGCCTTTCCTACACAAGGCAACAAAAAGCCTCAACCCATCACATCAAGCATACATCATGCAATCTACATATACATTAACAAACATTAAGATCACAAGAAATAAACAAAATTAGCCACAGTTCATTAAAAAGAAATCCTTCAGTTCAGTTGTATGCACAGCTACCTTATCTACCTTAATTTTTTAAAATATGGTTTTAGAAACATGCTTTATGGTCAATAAAAATGAGTTTGCTCCCTCCATAGAACTATCACAAAACATTCCAATGAAATGAAAATCCAGTGAATTCAGGTTGTGATTCATGTAAACAATAGCCAGCTCTTCAATCAGATAAACATGTCATTTTAACATTTCAAAGGGCAAGTGTTTGAATGTGTCATGCAAAACAAACATTGCTCTTTTACTCTGCATGTGCACAGATGAAGACACAGCTGAAGGAACAGAAGCAACAGCTCAAAAGGAACTGTTCAAAGTGATCCACCGAAATGACAATGTGCGACTCTGGCCTGTTCATCCAACCAGCTTTGTTCATGTAGAAGAGCGGGGACAGAGGAAGGCAGGAGCCGAGGGAGCTACTGCTGCTGTGATGCAAAGCGATTGCAAAGGCCCTACAGTAGAGTCAAAGCTCCACCATGGTTCTGGAAACTGATGCAAACAGTCCAGAAATACAGCTCAGTAAAAGGTAGGAAGAGTCAATTTGAGATTAACCAATAAAAACAGATTGTAACCAGGCCAACAGCTGTGCATTTAAACTTTGCGGTTTATTGAAAATGTACTTTACAGTATGAGCCATGAAACTAGACAGCTTGAGACCTAAACTGATCAACCCATTTTGATGCGGTGCACTATTCAAGAAATGCATATTTTCTATTGCATGCTTCTTGAAACTTAATATTTATATGTAATAGAATGTTTTAACTACAACTTGACTTAAAGCATTACCATATCAGAATAAAGCTCAGCATTGACGTTTTGTTTCAACTTAGCAAAAAGCATAAATTGTGATCTAGAGAGGCAAATAACTGGATAGTCATTTTACATTGCTAAACACCAAGATTTAAAGCCAACTGGAAGTTCAAATAATCAATTACTCCAGGCACACTTTATACTTTACCCCAACACATAGAATTAACATGAATTGCATAAACAAACTTTATTGGGTCAATAAGTGCAGGGACAAAAACCACCAAAAACCAAATTTCATTTGAGACCTACATTTCACAACTCAAAATTTGACCAATAGTCAAATTACTTCAAATAAATTAATGTACTCTAAATACATTTAAAACAAAATGACCCAATATGATAAAACTTAAAGACAAAAGGCTGTGATTTATCCTTATATTGGCGCGACGGCCGGTTTGTGCTTCAGCTCCCGGATGGAGAACAGCTCTCGTAGATTCACCTCGGGGTCGACGTAGTGTGGGATTTTGCGCTCGTTGAAAAGACCGGAGAGATCTGCCTCCACTTTGGTCCGTCGGGAAATCCTCATCCTCACATCAAACAGGAGACGCAGATTCTCCTCCACCAGCGGCATGCGGTGTCCGTCCAACCGCCTCTGCCAAGACTTCTTTGAACGATGTCGTCTCTGTGGAGAAGTGTGACAGCATTGATGCCAAGATCTATATAGAGCCAGCGCCAAGTGACTATCCAGAGCTCTGGACAATACAATGTGACGCATCGGCCTGACACAAGGAAAGATTAAAGCAATAGCTGTGTAACAATTATATTCAGACTAAGACCATTCACTATACCAGGGAAAGTCCATTAAATTAGTCGCAACACTTGTTCGCCATCTACCAATTATTCTGTCCAAATATAAATTTTGCTAATCACAGTTTTAGACACTTTATATTCTTGTCTGGAACCCTTACTTACTGTTAATTTTTTCTTCAAACACAAGATAAGTCTTCAATACTCACAGCTGCTAAGTGCTAATTTCTTTTGTCTTTGTGCGCACATACATCAAGGTTCATAAAATGTTAGCATTTGTTAGCCTCAGTAATAATTTCTTTAGCTACAGTCTGCAAAAATGTATTGTCAAGCATAATTCTCATATGACTAACCTGGAAAAGGCGATAAGTTTATATTAATTATTGATATAGTGTGGCAGTTAAATGTCAGTTTCCACATTCATTCCAATAAGTTAATCTTCGCATTTCCATCTCTTCAACTTTCTACTTGTGTGAAAATTACCTTTGTTGAAGTGCAGTTTGGATCATGACGCCGCAAATGCCTGTTCATGCTCTCCTAAAAAGGTTAACATTTTCTCATTAATGTTGAACTTGAATAAATGCAAGTATTAATGCAAACCCACTCACCCGCATGGCGAAGGTGCGTGTGCATTCAGGGAAGGAGCAATGGTACTTTTCCAACTTGAGATGCACTTTGCGGATGTGATGCTGCAGGTTGAAGGTGGTGGAGAAGTAGAGTTTGCAGTCCTGTCGTGGACACACCAGCACAGGTTTATGGGAGGCATGCAGAGGCTTGTGTCTGCGCAGGCCGTCAGACTTTTTGAACTCTTTATTGCACTCTTTGCAGGTGAAGGTGGCTGCAGGGACAAAAAGGACAATTTCACGTTTTGCCTCATTTTTGAAAGGATGGTTAGAAGAATATTGGAATTTCCGTCTCAAAAAAAATACAATAATCCATCTCACACAGGGCAATACACTGTATATGGCTTGACAAATTTCATGTAACATTTTGACTGAATAATAGGACAACCAACCTGGGTGTTTTGACCCAATGTGCTTTTGTAGCCGTCCCCAGGTGCGTTCAATGACCTGGCAGTCGGCACGAGAGCAGCGGTAGCCTGGAAGAGATCAAGTAAACTACAAGAATAGTTGGTCTGCAAGTTAGACTTTGAAAATAAGGCACCAAAGCATGGATGAGAATACAATAAATTCAGTAAAATACAGACATTGAATCCCGTTATGTAAATGGAGAAAAATTACTGCAATATATTGAAGTGTGATTTGTAGCTCATTTGCAAAATACTGGATCTTTAAAGAGCTTATCCCTTGAGCTCTTGGGTCAAATTGACCCATCTACCTATTCTCCATTTAACAATGTTCATTGCAAAAAGGGGATACAAAGTACTTTCATCTCAAATGAAAAATTTTTATTGCATAATTTAATTGTTTGACGTCTTAGTGCTGGAGCATGTGGAGTTGTCAGTTGTCCCACATGCAAATACAATTTACCAATAAATTGCATGCTGGATCTAGTAGTTTGTAATGTTGTTCTTGGCCATACATCAGTCATCTACATCTTACCAATTTTCAAATATGTTTAGAGCCAACTATATCCCCAATGCCCTGCTGACGAACAACTACCCACCTGCATGAGTCTTCTCATGGGCTTTACGTGCGATGTGGGAGTCGAAAGTGGCAGCACAGCCGTCCTTTGAACAACTAAGACAAAAGAATGGTTAAAAATACTTTGAACTTGACTCTAGGGGATTCAGACACCTACACAAGTCTGATTGTGCTGTATGTTGTGTTCCAAGTTAATGCAGGCAAAGCCAATGTTTTAGCCATGTCTTAACTTCAAGTTTTATGTTAACAAATGAGAAACTTAAGCCATCTTTTGTTTAATTAGTGAAAAGCTTATATTCACTACATTTCAGTCAACCAACATGTTACAATTACTCTGAAACGCAACATTTAGTTTTAATTTTTGCTTCCTTATAGACAATTGTTACTCTTAAAATATTTGCCAATGCAACAAAGCAATTTAGAGAGATTCAAAGACTATGTAAGAACTGCAGTGAAGTAACTTCATGAAACCAAACACTGCATGACCAAGTGAATGCCAAATTGGACAGACAAAGCCCTTCGACAATTAAATATAAATCATTGAAATTACTGTATATATAAGCCCCTACAATCTTAAAAATCAAGTTTAAATAGAAGTACTTTACCAGAACTTTGCTGCTATATTGTGGGTTTTCAGATGAAGTTTATAGAGTCGTCGTTTCTTGAAAGTCAGAGGGCATTTGGGCTGAGTGCACTGTGGAGAAAATTATCACTTTCATTATAAAAGACAACTGTTGAACTCTGGCGCCATCTTGTGGACAAAGCAGTGAATTTTAGGCTTACCATAAAGTATTTATTTTTGTCTCCATGAACGAAGCGGATGTGTCTTTTGAGTCGCCCTGCGTTGAAGAAAGTCTTTGGGCAGTTTGCAAATTTGCAGCTGGAAAAAAAACAAACATGAAAATTATGCCAGATGAGCTGATAGTTCAGCTTTACCCATGGCAAAAAGCAGGAACCCCAATTGGGGAAGGTCAAATTGGTTACACCCGAGCATAGATAATGAATCCATGACCAGTGGCTACAGGAAAGACGAAACCAGTAGTAGTTTTACATTATATAAGCTACAAGTAGTCCTGCAAAATTAAATGAACTTACTTGAATTGTTTGACACCTTTGTGCTGGAGCATGTGGCGACACAGGTGAGATTTCCGTCTGAAGCGACGCCCACACTCCGCCTCTGCACAAATGTACAGACACTACGGAAAACACGGAACATTACCAAAGAACATTCTCAATCTCGGTTCAGTTTCCTTAGCTTACGCGAGTATTCAAGTATCATTGCTTGCTGATAAATATAAAACTTCTATGGAGCGATAGCAGCATTACAGTTATAGTAAAATGCCAACACTTAAGACAACACGTAGACATTGGAAAACATGACTGAAATTAACATCGATCAATTACCAACGCCAATCAACAGAACACGGACAAAATACGTAGTTGCAACGTGGCCATTTATGCACACATTGCAACCGCTTATTTTGTCCGTGTGTTTGAGCGTTATAAAGGAGGTTTTAGACGGTTCTGTTACCAAACCAACCCAAACTTTTCCACTTTTTCAACTATTTGACCATAAAAAAAATTGAGAATTGAAAGCTAATAAAAAAATAACATAATAATAAATAAAACTACAGAACGGCTCAACTCCTTGCGTCTCATTTAATGTCTGGGAAATAAAGTATAATATTACCAGGCCTGTGTGGACTGTGAGGTGCTCGGTCAGTCTCCATTGGCGGGTGAATGTGGCGCCACAGTCCGAGCGTGTGCAGTTGAAGAGCTGCAGAGTTGGGGCCATAGACTGTAATGTTGGGGCACATGGTTTGGCGCCAAGAGTTCCGTCCATTTTAGCGAGATTTCTCCTCGTTGTGTTTCCTTGTGTCCAGATATTGTTTTTGGGTAAGTCGCGGCCTGTGTCCCTCGGTTTTAAAGGCTTTGAGAGGCTTTGGTGATTGGTGACATGATTGGTGAATAGACAGCAGCTGTGGGAGGCGGGCTGACTTTTAATGGAACTAGTTAGAACCACAAGAGAGGATTTTAAAGTCAACTCTTTAGTGTGCAATTATCAAAGTACAATTGTGGCTAAAATGTTGTATTCGACATTAGAATGCTTTGTTTTCCACTGAGGAAAACAAGTGTCCATAACTCATCATATGAATAGAGACGGATAGATATATTTGTATTCACTTTTTCTATCGTTTTCCGAGTTGATGTGATTTTGCTTTTTTACCAGCAGGTGGCAGGCTAACCCCTTCAGGTTGAATAAATATGTGGCTGTTATCGATCATGGACAAGGTGAGAACATATTAAACTAAACTAAACTGATATGCTGTGTTGATGTGGTTTTGATCAAACCTACCCTCAACCTAGTCCTGTTATAGTGCTGTTAGCTGTTATTTGAAATGTAATCACACGTCAGAATACGAATTATTTGTATTGCCTTAACAGTAAGTCATGAATTAGGAATTTACTTTCATTCATACAGTCTATGTTCATGGGGCATACAAGTTATAAAAGTATAAATAGAAAAGCATTTTCACTTTTACACATTTTAGTAAAAACAAAACATCTTTTAAAAAAATTCCACTATATGCAAGTGCACACTAAGTATAGTGTGACTGTATTGGTTGCAGTTTTTTCTTCTCATTGCTTTTCCATCTTTGTAGTGATAACATATTTTTAAAGAACAAGTTATAACTTAGTTTTCAAACCACAAAAGAGGTGGACTGAAAGGTGAAAAAGAGTGGACCACCTTTCCCAGAGAATCAGGTATGAGCCCAAAACGTGACTTAAAGGGCTCTTTTCTTACAAGTTTGAAATAGCTTACACATTTTCTAATAAGATGAATCCAGTTATGTGATCTGATTTGTTCACATTATACTTTTACAAGACTGTTGGGACCAATGAATCCATAGTTGACAAACAAAATATAATCTATTAAATTAAAAAGTTATGTATACCCCAGCCTTATTGATCCATCTCTGTAGGAGGAACTTTGTGCGTACTCGAGCACCCAGCCCCTGTGCTTTTATTTCATTGAGCACTTTCTACTTATTGATAGTCCCAAATGTCAGCTATGTCAAGTATTGCATTAGTGAATGAATCTTGCCTTTATTGCTGCACATTATAAAGAGAAAGTTACTGGCTGTGGCATCCTCTGACACTGCATTAATAGGCTCTCACCTCCAGTTAGTCTCAAAGGGGGCCAATGAAATATTCAGAGGGGTTTGTTAGTGTGTCCATTAGTGGGATAGCAGCAGAATCGCTCGCATCAGGAAAAACCAAGCAACCCCTCCCTCTAACTAACCCAGTGCCCCAAGTGGAGCTCAGGGTCGTGGCAGGTTGATCCCCATTACAGTGTCTGGATTTAGGGGGATTGCATAGAGAGAGGATGAGGAGGGAACAACAGTAAAGCAAGAGGAAGAGTATTGATTAGCTACATGGCCAATTAGGGTATCTTTCAAGAAGTCAAGTGGTGGGAGTGATTGACATGTTTATGGGAAGAAATGGTTTGACTTTTGGATGTATTAGGAGAAAGAATTCTTACTCTGGGCGCACAGCCAACTAAGCTAGACACACTATCACATGCACTTTCGAATAAATGGTTCTCTTATCTTGTGCAGTAACACTTCTTTGGTTATAAAGGGAAAAGTAATGAATAAAAGATGAAATAAATGTCTCATTGTCATTAAACTCACAGTCTTGATTAAATTTCCCCACATTTTTCTGTATGAATTGTCAAGAAGAAGAATAACTTTGTGATAAATCAAAGCGGTATTTTCAGTGAGACATACCGTTTCTTTTTGAAGTTACATCAGTCATCTTTTCACCCTTGCACCTCTCTGCACCTGCCATGGACGGATTTAACTCGAAGAATGTCGTTGCTACTGACAACAAAAGTTGATAATTATAGTTTCTTTACAGCCAAACTATTCTCGTTTGTTGCCAGAGAAATATAGGCGATTTACAGTTTCATTAGATGGAGTGTTTTTGTCAGATCATCAGAACAAAAATATTTATATAGAGACACACGTAGAAACCCCCCTCTCTCTGTCACGACACAAATCCGTTCAAACTCCTGGTGCAGGATAAAATAGACGTGAATGAAAGAGTCTTTACGGTTCTGAGCCTATGCACACCAGTCTCAAGTATAGGCGCTAGAGACCCATGAAGGTGGGTGCTGTCTCCGTGGCAATTCTGGCCGCCATCTTGCGTTTGGAGAAGAACTAAACTGGCCTAAAAACATGGACATAAGTAAATGTTTAAAATGATATAATGGCCTCTTCTTTTATTTAATTTTCTATATTTGAAGTTAAACCTGTTACTACAAATGTTTTCTTCTCTATACACTTCTATATACAAATTATATTCAATTTCAAACCGAATGTGTCCGAAAAATGACTATAGAACTCTGCACAGTATCATCACACTTCAAAGTCTGCACCTACATTTCCCATGGTAAATATACAGTAAATACAATGACTATGGAGGATAAGGATGTCTGAGGATAGGATATATTTGAATGTAAAATCAGCACATTTTAGGTTTTAATTCCCATTTCACAGCTGAGGCAAATGTATCTGTAAATTATATCTAGAGATCTGTAAGAAAGCGATAATCTCCAGACCATGTAACATTCCAATCAATGTTTTTGTAAATTTAAAAACTTTACATTAATTTGTGAGTTTGGCGTTCAAATTGATTCAGTTTCACCCCACAATGTTAATTCGACTCAAAAAAGAGGGAATCATCTTTAGTTTAATCTTTTATATCTCCAGATTGTTGATGGTTGTATTTTATCAATGGGGTGACACAAAGCCTGTTGCCACCCAGTGAAAAAATAATATCAAAAGTCAGCTCCCTTTTGTACATCTTTTTCTGAAAACATGGCGGCTTTACCCGGACGTGTGCTATTCTCGGTTTCCTTATGGCGCTGTGCTATCTAGCGCCGATACTACACCCCACGCGTTCTTGCTGATTTGGTCCGTGGTGCATCCTCCCCTCGCTGCATGGCAACGGGAGGAGACTGCTACAGGACGAGGGAGGGTCCCACGTGTCCCATCCGCAGCTGCAGACCCCTATAGCGCTTCCCACCGCCCTCCAAGCCTCCTCCGCTTTTTACGCATGCATCTTTACGCACGGAGCTTTACCGATATGTGTCTCCCCCGATTGCCTCCTTCATCGGGCCCCGTGGTCTGAGCGCTCTTCGGGGCCTCGTTATATAGACCGTGTTATCCGCGGGCCTAGGCTATGGTCCATTTCTCCACACACACATATAAGCAAATCCCGGGGAGAGTGCGGCGTATGAGAGAAACGAAAAGGCGCGCAATGATGGCACACGTTTAGCGCGTATTTTTTCCCCCGCTGCTGCTGTCTTCTGCTCTTCGCTCCGGTCCGGGACGATCGCAATTGGCGCCTCTCGATGTTGTAGAAGCCGGGGGAATATGTGAAGATCATGCTGTCGGTGTGGTGCTTCATGGTGTTCGCTGCAGTGGGTGAGCGGCTCGCTGTGTCAGGTAAGGAGAGAGACAGTGGCAGAGAAGAACAGAAAAGGACGGGGCAGTGCAGTGGGGTTTTTCGTTGCATCCACATATTTTTCCACCTGCCACAGCACTTTTGCCAGTGGTGGGTATAGGGATTTTTACAGAGTCCGTGCCAACAACCAGAATCGCGGCTCGATGCAGTAGATTTGCTGCATCAATATTAAGCCGCAGCCCCTTCGCCTTTCCCCCCTATAATAAACCTATGCGTCCCAGTGAAGCGCTGTCCTGTCAAATGAACATCCGACAGGACATATATCAGGCTGCTCACAAAGCCAGTCGTTTTTTATCAGCAGCCTGGATCTTTATTTGTAATATACGAGCCACTGCCGAGGTCTGCATGGGCGTTAGTGCACTAAAGACTATAAGTCCCTATAGCTGCAGGAATCTCAGTAACTCAGTAAATAAATGCACAGGTGTTTCAAAGCAGTTAGCTATGGATTTTATTATTTTTGTATTTATGACAGTTCTTGGGCACAGATGTGTAACCTATGCAATTTCCAAACATTTTGTTTTTCATTTACAGATGATAGATTTTGAGGTTTGATTGTCATGTTGTAATCCACATTCAGTAATGGTAATTGAAGAAGTGTGCTGTAATAGTTATCGCATGCATGTTTAAATAGCTATGTGCTTTTTATAGCCTATATGGTTAACTCATTCTGCTCAGTTACACAAAGTTTTTTAACCTAAGATTTGGCAGATAATACTTCTCATAAACATTCTCGTAAATGTTTTTAAATTTGCGTTATACCAAATTCATCTCTCCCATATGCAGTTGTAAAATGTTAGCTGCAGAGACTTTGTTAACCAAATCCATGTAACTTATTTCAGTCTACTGAAGTTGAAACATATCGCAACTCCCAAATCTGTATGAGGGAAAATTTACGGCGCATTCCCAGACTAAACAACTTGAAGATGGACAGGAGTGAAGCTGCCATTTCGCATTAAGTGCACTTTCATACACATGATATTAAGTTCACAAATTATATAAAAATCTCACAACCACAGATTTGATTCAAAACATGATTTTACCCCCTGAACTGAATTGTTTGGTTGTTCAACTTTGAGCAGTTTATATAGATGTAAACTCAAGATGCCAGTGCTATAATGATTGCCATCCTCAATAACGAGTTCACGGCTTAGTTTCCCCTGGAGAGCTTTTTTTTCTGGACAAAAATGGCAAAGAAACTTGCATAAGTTCTAATTATTCTTTATTCATATAGTTGGTAGAATGGTAACATTACATTTTAATTTGTCTTTGTGCAGCTCTTTAGAAACTGCTTTTTTGGATAATGTGCTACATAAAATAGTGGATTGGATCTCCCATACTGAGTTTTTCCTGTGTGTGGAGCAGGTGAGGAGCCCCGGCCGGAGGAGGACAGACATGTGTGGGACTGGTTCTCTCTGGGCAGACGGAGGGACAGCGGGGACACCAGCTCTGAAGTCACCTACCCCAAACGCCTGGTGCAGCACACACAGACCGAGGAGGAAACTGCCCACGGGCGTCTGGACACCAGGATCAACAACAGCGACATCCACCAATTAGTGAGTCTGCAACACTTGTCTATTTTTGTCTCGCCTTTTCAATATGCCATAATCGCAACCTGCAATCAAGTTTACATCGCAGCAATCAGTCCTTTGTCAGTTCATATTGTTCAGTATATTCACCTATTTGGGAGGAGACAATTCCCGCTTTCACACACACAGCACACTTTTCTTTTCTTAGAATCTTGTTCTTGTTGGAATCTGTGCACTGATTAGGCAGCTTCATGTGGAAATTTTGTCACAAATGGAAATAGATATGCTGATTACTACTTTTCATAATCAGACTCTTGTTGTGATGTTTGCAGTGACAAACTGTAAGAGGCAGTTGAAAAATCAACATTTCAATTATCTGCAGATTTGTTTTATGCCGTTTCAGATCATGTAAAACTGTTAACATGCAGTTATATGCTGATGATGCTGTATTATATGTGCACGCTAAAACAAAATGTGAAGCTGCTGCAATCCTATCTGCAGCCATGGTCCCAGTGTCCCATTGGCTCCAAATTTCTTGCCTTCATTTGAATACAAAAAAAAAACTGTCTGCATGTTCTTTTCTCGTCAGCCAGTAGGGAACGAACAACCATCTGTGATAGTTAATGGCGAGAGATTAAATGAAGTTAAACAATTCAAGTATTTAGGAGTGCTCTTTGATTCAAATCTAGATTTTAAGCAGCATATCAAGAAAATTGCACACATCATTAAATTCAATTTGTCAAATTTTAAGCATATAAGACCATGTCTGACCACAGAGTCTGCAAAGGCTTATATGCATGCAATGATCTTTAGCCATATAACGTACTGTCAAACCACATGGTCCCAAACATCAGAGTCCAACATGAGCCCCATCAAGTCTCTCTTTAAGAAAACATTGAAAACTTTGGATAGAAAGCCTTTACATTATCATTACTTCCACATTGTAAGTAAGTATAATATTTTAGATTTTGACGGCTATCAGAAGTTCCTGGATGCCTGTTTAGTTTTTAGAGTTTTAAAAGGTCTTGCCCCTCCACCATTAAGGAATTTTATATCACAAATAAGTAACACTCGAGTAAATACCAGAGCTCTGACCAGAGGAGACTGTATTGTGCAACGTCGTAGGACTAAATTCAGTCAAACGGTGGAGTCTATCAGAGGCTCGCAGTTTTGGAACTCGCTGCCTGTTCATATCAGGAACTGTGACAATTACCACACCTTTAAAAGGTCCTAAAAATCTGGTTAAAAACAAATCAATCTTGCACTCACAGGTAGTTTAATTAAAGTTCAATGCTTAATCAATTCTTGGGCGTGTTATGTTATCTTACCTGTGTCTGTCCTTGTAACTGTGACTGTAACTTTGTGCTGTTCTCTGTACTATGTTTGTATTTTCCTTCTGTCAATGTTTCTTTTCCTGCCTTAGGACAACGGATGCAATTTAGCTCTCACGCTAATTCTGGTACATTTACATTGATGCTTTTGGCTGACGTGTTGATTAATGTGCACTGTCCTAATTCAAATAAATAAATAAATAAATAAAAATCAATGTTAACCAACCTAGCTCTAACCACTTATTCTCCAAAATGTATAATAGTAGCAACAACACCACATGTTTGTCATTAATTATAAGTAAAGTCTGCTGTGTCGTGCAAGTTACTAATTAACATATGTTCAAAGGCAGTACATGATTGGTCTGCTTTAATTTGTTCATTTTTTTTGTGGAGCTCAGCTTTTGTGCAGCTGCCTCCTGTTCTCAGTGAAAACTGCAGTGGAGTGGAGGAGGCTCACTGCAGCACTTTGACCCAGTTTGTCGCAGTTATAGTCAGAAGAAGCTTTCAGATTTCAACTTGAAGGATCAACTTTCATTTTTTGCGGAAATGTTTTGCTTTCATTTTTTGCGGAAAAAATGTTTTGCGGAAATGTTTGACAGCTGTCAGCATTAGGCGTTATTATGAGCCGCGTAAAGTTGCCACTGGTGCCAAGGCTGCTGCTGTCATTTCTGGAGCTATGTGCGCGCCGAGTGCTAACGCGAGTTCTCATTAAACCACCATGGAAATCAAAGTCCTATCATACAACTGTCGTGGCCTGCGTCTGGGCCAGAGCGCGGATGATAAAGCTCGCCGTTTTGTTGTCGATCAGTTGTTGGATGACCATTGTGACATTTTGTGCTTACAAGAAACGTTCCTTGCAAAGCAGGATTTGAAAGGGATTAACGCCATCAATGAGAGATTCCTTGGTACAGGCGAGTCTACTACTGACCTCAGCCTAGGGGTCAGAAGAGGAAGAATAGCAGGGGGCGTGGCTATTCTGTGGAAAAAGAGTCTAGACTCAGTTGTAAACGTGATCAGGCTCAATGTGGACTGGTGCATCGCAATTAGATTGTCACAGCACAACAAGGATATTGTGATATTAAATGTATATGCTCCTTATGAATGTATTCAGAATGAAGAGGAGTACCTAAGTAAGCTTGCTTTTATTAGTGCCTTTGTGCAAAATGAAAAGTCCTCCAGTGTTTATGTCATTGGTGATTTAAATGCAAATATCTTAGATAAGAACTGTATGTATGATTTTTTTCCCCTAAAGGCCACTTGTATTTTTATTTTCTGTGCGACAGGGAGAGCAGTAGAGATCCTCTCACAAACGGACGGGCTAAAAGAAACTTCAAGCGGAGAACCTTCAACCATTCATCCAGATGCACCCCATGGTAGTGGCAGTGCCCCTTCTGGTAAGTGTACCAGGTGGGGGATTACAGCCAGGCTGCTTGGTCCTAACCCTGGGAGTGTATATGCTAATATATTTTTATTTCTCTCCCTAGAACGTGTCCAGAAAAGCCATGGTCTGCATCTGAGGTGAAGGCTGTGGAGAAGACCATGACACCTTTCATACAGACTGGAAAGGTCCCTGGGAAGTCTCACTGCCTGGCCTGCATTAATGCCTCACCAGATGACCTTAGACATCGGACATGGAGTGGCATTAAATTCTATGTCAAAAATAGAATCACTGCAATTCGAAAACAAAATCTAAAATAAAATTCCTTTAAAATAGTTGTTTGGTTTCTATTGACTGTTTTGTATTACTTAAAGTAGTCCCAGTAAAAAAAGATTATGTCTATGGGTCCCATTCTGAACGGCCCTGTCAAAGGGACCCACCAGGTAACAAAAACGTGTATGTGTGTGTGTGTGTGTGTGTGTGTGTGTGTGTGCGTTTGTTTTGTGGACATATGAGGACTTTTGTATGATAACACACCTTCAATATCAGGACCTGAGGAAATGTGGGGACTTTTTTCAGGTCCCCATTTTTCCATGCATACTACAGTGTTGTAGAGGCCCAGAACAAGCTCCACACCAAAAATCAAGCATGTCCCAAAATGTCTACAAATAGTGAAAATGTGTGTCGGGGCCGAAACACTCCGTCCCAAAAAGTTTGAAGCGCCTCTCTGGTCGTGCACGGTACTACCTTAACACACTTTTAACACACACACACTTGTCCTCATATGTCACCTATTTTGTCACAAACTTAAATACATTCCCAGAGGTGGGTAGAATAGCCAAAATATTGACTCATGGTAATTTAAAAAGATACTTGAGTAGTGAGTGTGTGTTTGTAAAAAAAAAAAAAAAGAAAAAAACTTTCAGCCAGAAGGGGCCTTTTGGAGTGGAGCTTGCATGTTCTCCTTGTGTCAGTAGATTATCTCCCTGAAAATGTGTCTTAACTCCAGTTGGAAAATCATGTTTAAATTAGAATTTAAAACATCAAAAACAAATATAAAAGTGAGGTGTCAAAAATTACAAACATGTATAAAAATGAATAATTCTACAATAAATTTATAATGTATTTGCCCACCTACAGAGTTACTCTCCGTGAAAGGAGTAACGATTGATAAATATTTCCCTCAGACCTGAAGTGCTTGTTATACTGTAGGTCCTAATATGTCACTCAGACCTGAGGTGTGTGTTGTAGGTCCTAATATGTCACTCAGACCTGATGTGTGTGTTGTAGGTCCTAATATCTCACTCAGACCTGATGTGTGTGTTGTAGGTCCTAATATCTCACTCAGAACTGATGTGTGTGTTATAGGTCCTAATATCTCACTCAGACCTGATATGTGTGTTGCAGGTCCTGATATCTCACTCAGACCTGATGTGTGTGTTGTAGGTCCTAATATCTCACTCAGACCTGATGTGTGTGTTGTAGGTCCTGATATCTCACTCAGACCTGATGTGTGTGTTGTAGGTCCTAATATCTCACTCAGACCTGATGTGTGTGTTGTAGGTCCTAATATCTCACTCAGACCTGATGTGTGTGTTGTAGGTCCTAATATATCACTCAGACCTGATGTGTGTGTTGTAGGTCCTGATATCTCACTCAGACCTGATGTGTGTGTTGTAGGTCCTAATATCTCACTCAGACCTGATGTGTGTGTTGTAGGTCCTAATATCTCACTCAGACCTAATGTGTGTGTTGTAGGTCCTGATATCTCACTCAGACCTGATGTGTGTGTTGTAGGTCCTGATATCTCACTCAGACCTGATGTGTGTGTTGTAGGTCCTGATATCTCACTCAGACCTGATGTGTGTGTTGTAGGTCCTAATATATCACTCAGACCTGATGTGTGTGTTGTAGGTCCTAATATATCACTCAGACCTGATGTGTGTGTTGTAGGTCCTAATATCTCACTCAGACCTGATGTGTGTGTTATAGGTCCTCATATCTCACTCAGACCTAATGTGTGTGTTGTAGGTCCTGATATCTCACTCAGACCTGATGTGTGTGTTGTAGGTCCTCATATTTCACTCAGACCTGATGTGTGTGTTGCAGGTCCTAATATCTCACTCAGACCTGATGTGTGTGTTGTAGGTCCTAATATCTCACTCAGACCTGATGTGTGTGATGTCGGTCCTAATATCTCACTCAGACCTGATGTGTGTGTGTTGTAGGTCCTGATATCTCACTCAGACCTGATGTGTGTGTGTTGTAGGTCCTGATATCTCACTCAGACCTGATGTGTGTGTGTTGTAGGTCCTGATATCTCACTCAGACCTGATGTGTGTTTTGTAGGTCCTAATACCTCACTTAGGCTGCGGTCCCATGCGCAGCCTAAAGCCCGGTTAAAGCGTGCCAGGCTTTAGGTGCCATGTGACCGCGGCAAACGGGCCCAGGCTCGATTCCTGTAATCGAGCCCAGGCTCTATTAAAAACTGCGGCCAGGGCCCGTTTCCCAGCACGGATGAGGGGGGTCAGTGTGGCGGAGAGTGGGGGGTTGATATCTTGCGTCACATTACACGTCTTCCTGTGACACGCATTTTCGCACACGTCTCTCCTGCACTTTCTTATATTCTCCGCTTCTGTTAACCCTCTATGCACATGGGTCATTTTGGGGAACTTTCCTCGCCTGGTTTTCTTTGTGTATAATTGTTCATAAAACAGTCATCTTTTGATTCAGAGTCAAGCAGTATACTTTGTTTTTTTCAGTACAACCTGGGGTTTTAGAATATTCATATTGTAAAGCTGTCATATGAATTATATAAAAATTATGGAATCACGAAGACAAAGAAAAAAATCAAATGGAAAATCAATTTAACAAAAATGTATTGAAAAAACACAATGAAATGCTATAAACAACTTTTTACACTGCATAGAAATGTTATTTAGAGACTTGGGGATAATGGGGAAAAAAATTGAATCTCTAACTATTATACTTTTTACAAAATTCCACTATAAAAGCAAAAAATTCTGTACTCCTGATGCCCTTCCTGAAGCAGTTTGTCTATAATGCTGGGGTTGCTTCTGTAGCACAGCTGTAAAAAACGTAAAACATAAGAAACTGAGCCAAAAAAAAAAAAAAACATCAATTATTTATATAATACATATATTTCTATACATCATATACACATAAAGACGATAATAAATACAGTAAAATGACCTTATCAATAATCCGCACTCTTCAGCCGGTTATTGCAATCGCAGCTGTAGTTTCAACTGTGGGAGAACAAGTAAACGCAGAGGAGTGAGACATCTCACTCTCTGACGATCTTTGGCAGTCCCCGTGTGTTTGTATCTCACAGCTGTTTGTACCTCACGGGTCACGCTTTGGACACGGACTTTCAGACAAGCGTAGTTTATCCTCCGTGCATCGCACAGACAAATCCAAACTAGTTTTGGAAAGCCCTGATAATGTACTTCACAGACCCCCCAAAGTGAGGTCGTAGTTAAAAACATGAAAACTGAGGACTTGCCTTTCCCAATGTTTTAGGAGGAAGAAAAAACACTTTCTAGACACTTTATGGCGCTGCGGAGCTATACACTCCATTGAAAAAATTTTAGAACCAAGATTTAAGAAAAAGTTTTGAACCATCAGAGTGGGGGCAATAAGTGAAATTTGCAAAAAAAAAATCATGAATAGACCTTTTTTAACTCTTTGAAGGTATATTTAGAATTATATAGTTTGTCACATGTGCAAATGGACACAGATTATTATGTGGGATCACAGCAATTTTAATAAAACAAAGCAAAACATTTGAAAGACAGGTTTATTTGCATCTTTGTATTTTGACTTGTCCCAACAGGACAATTACAAAGGACCTAATACAAAGTGCTCTTGAACGGGACTTTAAAAACATAACTGCACTTAACATTAAAGCAGGGCGGTCAAACTCATTCCTAAAGCGCCGCAGGTTTTCCATCAGACCAAGCAGGAGCAGAGCAGACTCCTCCCATTTCCTCAAACCTTCAGGTTAAGACTGAACTCACTGAGGAAATGGGAGGAGTCTGCTCTGCTCCTGCTTGGTCTGATGGAAAACCTGCAGCCACTGCGGCGCTTTGGGAAGGAGTTTGACACAAATACCAGCTACACAAGCTGCCTCTTGAGTCGGATAATAGTATTATACACAAAGTACTTGAGGTCCTTCCAGGTTCTGTTGATGAGGGCTGCAGACTCCTGTGTGAGGCACAGCACACAGAGCCAGGTACTTCCCCATCCTCTTCTCCACGGCTCTCCTCCTCACTCCAGGGTTTCTAGAAGCTTCTGATGGAGACAATAAGACACATAAAGACTTATGTTTATCCTGATGACCAGGTCTGGACCAGGTCTAAACCAGGACTGAACCAGGACTAAACCAGGACTAAACCAGGTCTACCCTAGGTCTAAACACCAGGACTACCCCAGGACTGAAACAGGACTGAAACAGGCTGAACCAGGTCTAAACCAGGTCTAAACCAGGTCTAAACCAGGACTAAACCAGGACTAAACCAGGACTAAACCAGGATCAGTTGTACTCACCATCTGTCCTCTTGGTCCGTTTGTTTTTCTGGGCCTTTGTGGAGGTCGGCTCTAGCTCCTCTTCATCAGACACTTCAGCACACGCTAAGAACACACAGAAGGGTCAGCAAGGACTAAACCAGGTCTAAACCAGGTCTAAACCAGGTCTAAACCAGGTCTAAACCAGGTCTAACCCAGGACTAAACCAGGACTAAACCAGGTTTAAAAACCAGGTCTAAACCAGGTCTAAACCAGGTCTAAACCAGGTCTGAACCAGGTCTGAACCAGGTCTGAACCAGGACTGAACCAGGACTACCCTAGGTCTAAACCAGGACTGAACCAGGTCTAAACCAGGACTGCCCTAGGTCTAAACCAGGACTAAACCAGGTCTAAACCAGGACTAAACCAGGACTAAACCAGGATCAGTTGTACTCACCATCTATCCTCTTGGTCAGTTTGTTTTTCTGGGCCTTTGTGGAGGTCGGCTCTAGCTCCTCTTCATCAGACACTTCAGCACACGCTAAGAACACACAGAAGGGTCAGCGAGGACTAAACCAGGTCTGAACCAGGACTAAACCAGGACTACCCTAGGTCTAAACCAGGACTGAACCAGGTCTAAACCAGGACTTCCCTAGGTCTAAACCAGGACTAAACCAGGATCAGTTGTACTCACCATCTGTCCTCTTGGTCCGTTTGTTTTTCTGGGCCTTTGTGGAGGTCGGCTCTAGCTCCTCTTCATCAGACACTTCAGCACACGCTAAGAACACACAGAAGGGTCAGCAAGGACTAAACCAGGTCTAAACCAGGTCTAAACCAGGTCTAACCCAGGACTAAACCAGGACTAAACCAGGTTTAAAAACCAGGTCTAAACCAGGTCTAAACCAGGTCTAAACCAGGTCTGAACCAGGTCTGAACCAGGTCTGAACCAGGACTGAACCAGGACTACCCTAGGTCTAAACCAGGACTGAACCAGGTCTAAACCAGGACTGCCCTAGGTCTAAACCAGGACTAAACCAGGTCTAAACCAGGACTAAACCAGGTCTAAACCAGGACTAAACCAGGACTAAACCAGGATCAGTTGTACTCACCATCTATCCTCTTGGTCAGTTTGTTTTTCTGGGCCTTTGTGGAGGTCGGCTCTAGCTCCTCTTCATCAGACACTTCAGCACACGCTAAGAACACACAGAAGGGTCAGCGAGGACTAAACCAGGTCTGAACCAGGACTAAACCAGGACTACCCTAGGTCTAAACCAGGACTGAACCAGGTCTAAACCAGGACTTCCCTAGGTCTAAACCAGGACTAAACCAGGATCAGTTGTACTCACCATCTGTCCTCTTGGTCCGTTTGTTTTTCTGGGCCTTTGTGGAGGTCGGCTCTAGCTCCTCTTCATCAGACACTTCAGCACACGCTAAGAACACACAGAAGGGTCAGCAAGGACTAAACCAGGTCTGAACCAGGACTAAACCAGGACTAAACCAGGTCTAAACCAGGTCTGAACCAGGACTGAACCAGGTCTACCCTAGGTCTAAACCAGGACTGAACCAGGTCTACCCTAGGTCTAAACCAGGACTGAACCAGGTCTGAACCAGGTCTACCCTAGGTCTAAACCAGGACTGAACCAGGTCTACCCTAGGTCTAAACCAGGTCTGAACCAGGTCTGAACCAGGACTAAACCAGGTCTGAACCAGGACTAAACCAGGACTAAACCAGGACTGAACCAGGACTAAACCAGGTCTACCCTAGGTCTAAACCAGGTCTACCCTAGGTCTAAACCAGGTCTACCCTAGGTCTAAACCAGGTCTACCCTAGGTCTCGCCTAGGTCTAAACCAGGACTGAACCAGGACTGAACCTGGACTAAACCAGGTCTACCCTAAGTCTAAACCAGGTCTAGCCTAGGTCTAAACCAGGTCTGAACCAGGACTGCAGTCATGTGTCTCAGGTGTTAGACTCACCATCAGGAGGCTTGTCCATGGGACCATCAGCCTCATCCTCCAGGTCACTGTGCTGAAGCTCTGTTTGGTCTGTGAACATATAAAAGATAATCATCATCATGAATCATGCCTTTGATCATATTCAGTGCTGACCCGCGCACAGACACAGACCCACAGAACCACGCACAGACCCTGACCCGCGCATAGACCCAGGCACAGACCCACGCCGCCATCAAACGAACTTACCGCTGAGCACCACGTTTTGTATTTAAAACACCGGATTTGATACGGAGAAGTTACTTTGGCCGGAGTTATTACAATGAAAAGCACTCACTTTACCCACAGAAATAAGACAGAGGTACTTACCGCATCGGCTCTGCTCTCACGCGCCATCTCTCCGGTTCGTCGCCGTGTGCTCCTCGCGTGGTCCTTGTGTGCACGTGAACTCAGACAGAACGTGCATTCGTTTCACGCGTGGCTCATTGTGCGCTCTGTTGTATTTATAAATACGTGACATTCTAAAACCATGTGTTTTATGACCTAGCTAACCTCTAAGTGGGAGGCCAGTCCTTCTTATTTTATTTTAGGTGTCTTCTTGTGCCAGCAACTGGACAACAGATTCTCCTGTTTGGATTTCACCTCCCTAGTCTTGGCCTGCTGACTTCTGCACTTTTCAACCTCACTCCATCAGGAGTCTGGCAGACGGAGGAAAAGGCTGGACCCTAGACCGGAAGCTGGCTGATAGGACATTCCCCTCCTTCCTGTTCTTTATATATGCTCTGGCTTGGGGAGAAACAGAAGGATCAGACGAGGGCCAGAGAGAGGGACATATTAGTTTTAGGAGCACTCTTTTGTTGAAGGTGTGTCAGAGAAATCAAGGAACTATCCAGGCTAAAACATAATGTGAGCTGCACAAGGAAGTCAGTCATTATTTAGTTCCATGCAAAAATAAAAATGTAATTATATTCTAATACAATCACAGCTCGTGCAACCACACACAACCTTTCTTGAATGGTGTGGGTCTTGTTAAAGAAAAGGAATGATGAGAATTATTTAAGAAACTTGTATTACTAAATTAGAAGTAGATCAAATAATTCTTGGTAAAGTTTATGTGACGAATGTTTCTAGTGGCTGTATAGTTTACATTTTTGGTGGACTTAGCGGACTAAGAGTTGGTATAGTTTGACTTTAAACAAGCTATAAAAAGCTCTTATAACAAAAAATAAAAAAATCTATTTGTACATGTCCTGGACAGCTCTCCTAAACAGCACGTTTAGGACGCACGAACTTCCTTGGTAACCCTGGCTTCCAGTAGCACTCTGGCCAGTCAATGTCAGCTAGAACACTTTATCACCAGCTCGACCTGGATAGAACCAGGGTCAAGTAGGGACTATTAGGGCGGCACGGTGGCTGAGTGGATAGCACTCTCGCCTCTCAGCAAGAAGGTCCTGGGTTCGAATCCCAGTCGGACCAGGGCCTTTCTGAGTGGAGTATGTTCTCCCCGTGTCTGCGTAGGTTTCCTCCGGGTACTCCGGTTTCCCCTACCACTAAAAATATGTCCAATAGTTCTAGCATGCGCCTCCTGTACTGGCGACCCCGCTCCCATCTCTGTGTGGAGTGAGAGACAAATGCCCAAAAATGAACAATTGTAAACCGCTTTGAGACTCAGATCTGCAGTGAAAAGGCGGTATATAAATAAAGATTACTTACTTACTTACTTACTATTACAGTACCTGTTACCGGTTGAGCATAGCTCTAAAGTCCAAAAAGTTGTCCTGATTGAACAATTTAAAGACAGTTCACTATATCAGCCTCGATCTTATATATGTATATATATATGTTTTCATACTATGGTTTATGGTGTAACATAAATAAAATAATTGGTAATTTTAGAAATCTGGTGCCATAGATTTACCTTAAGACCTCTAATGTATCTAATATTGAACTAGATTGACTGAATGCATGTGTTCTGGTTATTGCGGGTCTGTATTACAAATACTACACTGTTGGAAACGTACTGTATGATTATTACTGGCACATTTACAGTTATGTTTGGTATATATTTTTGTCTTTACATTTCAATCCCTGCAACGTGAGATATACCACCCACACTTCCTCATTGTGCACCATAAACACACAGTCTCTTGAGGGAAGGTGAATGAAATGTCTTGCCCAAGGACACAGCTTCAGTGATTTTGTTCTCATGACTTGTTTCTCCCTGCAGCCAGCTCCTGTCTTCTGAATATGTGGAGCGGCACTTTCACCAGGACGGCAGACCTTCCCAGTCGGCGGTAAGGCTGTGTGCGTGGGCTGTGCTCCCAAATACTCACTGTCACAAGTGCAGGCAACATATTAATGAGATGACCGACGTGCGAAGGCTTTTGGACATTTGGTGGAAGAGTTTTAACAAGCGACAAATTCAGTTTGACTTTGTTCTTTGAGGCTCTGAACTGTAACAAGTCCTGATTTTGTTGTAAGGAAAATCAGGGTGAAGTGCTCCTACAGTGTAGAATAGATGGTTTTGTGCTTACGTATTTACTCATGTTTCTCAAGGATCTTTAATTTGATTGTTAACGGCTGTATACACAGATTAAAACATATGTACGGGTTGTGAAATGTGATTGGTAGACTCAAACAGAGCTGGAAGTTCATAAATAATCATAAATAATGAATAATCAAAATTAAAATATTTTGTTAGAATGTCCTCCAGTGCTTTATTCTTCTTAAATGTACATAAATATATCATACCGCCATTTTAAACAGCTCATCAAATAATCATAACAATCATTGCCAGAATAATAGTTTGTTGCTGCCCGGTTTTTTTGTAATCATTCTAAAACCAAACAAGTCAGCTCTAAAACCTTTATTGAAAGATTGACCTTTATCAAGTATATAAATCGATATTAGAACTAGTCTCTCATCAGCGGTTGATACTAGATGTGGTCAGACTGTGTGATCTGCCGCTCTGTGGTTTCTGGAGAATTGTCCTGTGTGTGTGAGTCAAGGCAAAGCTCCCGGTCTCTGATGGTCAGTGCACCCACCTTCCCCCCTTACCTTGGCCGCTGTTCTTGGTTTACAAATGGATTCATTTTGTTGTCAAAGGAGACATTCTCAGATATACAGGTATGTTATGCATATACTGTACATATACGTCTTATTGGATTTAAACAAAAATAAACAATATAAATAAGTAGCTTATTGAAAAAAATTAACTAAAGTTCTATTTCATCCCTATAGACAGTGTCTGCTTAAAAAAAAAACAAAATAAAACAAATAATCTTGATCTAATTGTCTCCAAACCCTCTCATGTTTTCTGTTTTCCAATTGAATCAGTAAATACATAAAATTGTGCTTCAAAGCCAAAATAATGATGTTATTACATTGCTCTTTTTCCAGTGTTTTTTTGTAAACCATTCCTTCTGGAAATGCAACTTCTCTCTTTTTATCTCAGCGCTATTTTAATGTAATGTTTAATTACGCTCATGTCTCGTCTTTGTACTGTTGTCTATTTTTGGAAAGTGCGTTGTGTGCTCTTTGTGGGAAAAGTAGGCTGCAGATTCTATGTTGCAGTTCTGTACATGTTGCAGAGGGAAAAGGTCAGTGGCAAAAAATGAGTAAATCCCATAGTAACGTACCAGTTTATTTCTTTTTAGAGTTCGTATAACAGTTCGTATATATAGACTTTTTACTAAACGGGACATATTTTGCAAAGGCAACTTTTAGCTAAATCATAGCTCATCATTTTATTTATTTTTTTGATTTTCTAAAATGTTTAGTTATAGGCCTTTATCAAATGGTTGAGATGCAGTTTGACGGTAAAAGTCCTAAAATCAAATGATAGAGATGCCCCAATGAGTTAGATACCAGTTTCAAGCATCAAGTAGATATAGTAACTCAAAAAAATTATCAAAAAGTGGAAGCCATTAAAGTTAAAGTGATTGTTTATTTACGTCACACATATTAGACACTTCTCTATTTTGCACTTTTCATCTTTTATTTTATTCACACAGTTTTTCAGTTGGTCATCTATCCTGGGTATATTGTATAGGGTCAGAATGGGTTGTTTTACATAAAAATGGCTGATATTTTTTAGCTGTCATTAAATTAAATCTGTGTGTGTTGATGTCCAGGAGGGATGTTGGTGGTGACGGTAGACGAACACAAATATGCCGCTCATGTGTCTCCTCTGCAGCCGCCCACCACCGGCACTCCAGCCCGCCCCCCCTCACAGCTCTCCGCCAATCACAAGGCTGTTTCCGTAGTAACCAGTGAGCTCGGCGGAGTCATTAAGTTCTTGGCATCGTTGGGAATGAAAGAACAGAGAGGACAAATGCAGGAAGGACCGGGCAAGTGAATCCAGGCCTTGTTTAAGTTGGTTCCAGTGTGGTGGAAATCAAGCACTGTTCTCGTTGTAATTTGAGGTTCGGAATTTGGCAAAAAGCGTTACCTTTTATAACAAAAAGGAACGTTCTCCAGATCTTTTCTTCTAGAGAAACTCAATGGTTTTGTTAGCTTTAAAGGAAACATTTAAATAATCAAACTATAGCAAACAACATTGGCAGCATTTTGCAGATGATCAATGGTTGAAGTGAGTGAAGAGGCAAAGGAATAGATATTGATAAGAGCTAAAAAGCTTACATGTTCCACATTTTGTCCCACATTGTTTATATACACTATAAAAATGAGCGGGCCCAAAATAGACCCCTGTGACACTCCTCAAGTAACAGGCAGATCCTTTTGAGACATGCAGGTGAATAATTTGTTAGAATTTTGAAACAAGAAGCCAACGATTTGCTACTAACCAGGTAGCATCTTCAGGGCTTAGCTCGGGTGACTGGTGCTCACAAAATGATGTCCGTCCAGCTGTATCTCTAACGAATAGTTATTCCTGGACCTGCACTTGATTGTGCTGAAGATGAGGAACATATGATTTTCACACTGTTTTGCTTAAATGTACATGACTGTATTCATTTTAAATATGTTTAGTCTGTTTTGCCGCACCATCCTGAACTGATCCTTTTCCCACATTTCGTCAGTCCCCTCCTCGGACACATTGCTTCATTACATTTTAAACAGTGCACTTCATTAATCAAGATCCCCCTGAATGGTTTTGACCTCTTTGAGGCCCTTTTGTACATGTTCCTTCAGAATTGTGAAGAGTGCCGCCATTCTGTCACCATAATTGTTTGATTTTGCATAGAGCTATCAATCTTGAGAACAAATAAATTCTATAGAGCAAATAAGCAGTTTTCAAGCCCTCAGATGATGGGTCTATTGTTGACTTGAATATGAACATTTTACACAAATTGGCCTTCTTTATTCAATCTTTAATACATTCTAAATGATGTATGATAATCCCTTTATCTGCACATGTAAATTCCAAAAGAAATTCAGGTCTGTCATTTAAAAAAATATCAAACAAAGAATAAGGTGGATATAGTGGTGTAGTTTAGAAGTACAATAAAAAAAAAGGAGGAAAAAAGAATGAAAGCCACTGTGTCTGGGTCCTAGTGTTATATTGTTAGCTTGTTTTGAAGCAGCCTGCGGAGAGGGCAGATTGTGGCTCAGTTGGAGAGAGCCCTCACCTGAAGAGCGGTGTCCTCCTTTTCTATTCTCTCCTCCCCCTCCTAATTTTAACGTAATTATATTGGGACAGAGATTAAAGCATATACTGTACACCTTTAGAACTGTATCAATCCTAAATAGTTAGATAGAAACGATTATGTACAGAAAATGTCACTCTTTCTGGTTGGTCTTATAATTTTCAACTTTGTAAATGTTATAACTAACCCCAAAGCCGTCTACTGGTACCACCTTATCACTATTTAGACAAGCTCTGAATTGGAGTGGGCACAAATTTTATTCAGTAAAATCCAAATAATTACAATTACAATTATTAATCCACTCCCTCTTATCCACTTTGTGCAACATTCGAATGACAAATCCCCACTACTTTTTAGCACTTTGTATATTGTTTTTGGAATATGTAAGTACGACAGCTCACCAAGTGCCTGTCAAGGGACTACAATATTGTATTCCTCTATACCTGAGATAAATCCAATTTGAATTCTATGTTCATGAAATAGATTCAAAACCATATTTATTTGCTTTTAATTGGAAAAAAGAAATCAAATGAAGGAAAATACCATGATTGAACATATGATCATTTATTGCCCTGGCCCTTCACTCCTTTATCTCTCTCTCCTCCCTCTGTCGGACCAGCGGTGGATCTAGGCCAGTGCGTCATCTCTGATCTCACAAATTTCCATTCAAAGCTCTAAGGTGCCCTCTGCTGCAGGTCGAGCCCCAGTTTTACACACGTCCATCTCCGTGTTTTATCACCTCACCTCTGGGTCAGGTGCATCAGCGGCCTTGTGAAGTGTGGACCTTCGCCGAGGTAGCAGTGTGCGCGGCTGTCATTGTTAAAGCGTTTGATGGACATTATATTGCGTTGCATTAATATATTGTTATTGCAAGAGACGTATACAGCAATACAAAAATACTCTCTGAAATTGATTTAGACACTGTTTTTTCTGTACATATTTTGTACGTGTTTGTTTGTTCTGCTTTTGGACCCCTTCCCCTTATGTGGCTTTCTGGGACTTCCCTTTTACTAAGAACTTACAAATCATTAAGTGTATGAACTCTATACATGTTTTCTAAATAAAGTAAATCAAATTCTAAAGTGTCAAATTACAAATAAACATAGCATTTTTATAGCATGGATATAAAACCCTTCACATTCAATAGACTCACAGTGTATCTATAGGAAGATAGTTAGAAGATAGAAAGAAGTTTTGTGGAAGTGGAAGTGGAAGTTTTAAATTGCTGCTAATGCCTTGTCTAAAGGGCATAGTTGCGTACCAGAAGGTTACATGTGGGGATCTCTGGGAGGATGAGGGCACAGGGTTTTGTAAAGCCATATTTCAACCTATTTAGACAAGATAAATGAACAGAAAAGAATATTGCATGATTCAGATTTAATGGTAATGGTTTTATTGTCCTTGTGGAGAAAATTGTCCTCTGCATTTGACTTGACTTCAATCTCATTTGTCCGCTGTATTCTAGCTCATCCCACTTGTGGTTTTCAAATGTTTAATTCATAAAATGTACCGTTTGGATATGTAATTTATTCAACAGCTAAAGTCTTCTGCTTTTGTCAGTGGAAGCATGTACTGTAGAGTATATAAATGTGCCTTTGCTGTAAAAAGAAAGAAATATAGTGATTTGAGCTTTAATATATTGTGGTTAATGCATTTGGTCCCAAAATTGTAATTTCATAATTTTTGTTCTGATAAAAAAAAAAAAAAGTCACTTTTAGCTTGGAAATCCTCAGGGACAAAGACACTTAGAAACAAATGGTTTTCACCTACTGCAGGTTAAAGTCTCACTAGAACCGAGTGGCTCGGTTCTAGTGTCTCTCACTCCACACAGAGATGGGAGCGACCCCGCTCCCATCTCTGTGTGGAGTGAGAGACAAATGCCCAAAAAATAACAATTGTAAACCGCTTTGTGACTCTGGTCTGTGAAAGGCGGTATATAAATAAAGCTTACTTACTTACTTACTTACTTACTCTCCAAAAATTTTTCAATGAGCTTGAGGTCAATTGATGTTACAAGTGATGTGTCAATATGTTGTTTCACTTAATTGAGGGTTCATCAACAAACTTTGTCCAAGATCTTTTTTTTTTTCATCTAACCTGTAACTAACCAGGAAAGTCCCATGCCCTGTCCACACGAAGTCAAGCTCAGGCCTAAACGCAAAAATACTTTTATCAATCCAGTGTATCATCCATACGAGGCCGGCGTTTTGGGGGGGTGTAAACGAACATTTTTGAAAGTAGGTCCCAGAGTGGAAAGATTTCAAAACTCCGTATATGCCGCTCCGTGGTTACTGCCTCTCCGCAATGTATCTGAGACGCTTGCGTCATCGCCCCGCCTCTTGTTAAAGCACGCATGCGCCGCACTCAGAAAATAATGACAACAACAATGTAGCTTGTTGGTTTTGTAATCCAGTGTGACCCGAAGCAAGAGTTCAACCTCATCGTCCGTCCATACTAATGTAGTACCAGCTCGCCCACTCGCCATGTTGTCTGTTTACAAAATTCTGCGCATGCCCAGTTCCCGTCACGGAAGTTTGGGCTTGATCCCGTCATTGCGTCACAGCGCCACCAACAGGTCTGGCATAGTTTCACAGCGTTTTCAGGCGTATTGACTACATTCATATGGACGCACACATTTACTGAGCTAACTCCGTGTTTACAGAAAAAGTTTCTGAAATTATAAGCGTTTTGTCTTCGTGTGGATATAGCCTAAGAACCTCTTTTTCAGAAAAAGTTACACGCAGTTACATACAATTACAGATTACAGATAAAAACAGTTGCATGTCAATGAGGATGTCTCACACCATACATCCTGAACACGAGTGCTGTCTCAATCATTTCAATTTGACTGCAGCTGTAGGGTGGATAACCACTATAAAGTGGTATCAAGCACCAGGTATTAACCATTCCTATATTTACTGAATGTAAGATCTAAGCCACTCAGTCATTGTTCTATATCAGGAGAAGACAAATAGTATATGGGTCAGATTGTTTTGAACAGTTAATCCAGAATGTGGGGGCGACAGTCGCTCAGTTGGTAGAGCACTGGGCACTGTCCTTGGGCAAGACACTTAACCCCAATTTGCCTTAAGCCCCCGCTGAAAGATCAAGGCTAAGCTCTTTACTAAAGAGTAACCATCCTCCTGTGGACTCACCACCTGCAGGAGGATCAGCGACGGGCTGCCACCCCTGACCCAGAAATGGATTAAGGGGAAGAAAATGGATGTTTATCCAGAATGTGGTGAAGGTGTAAGATAGATGTGATTTGAGGGAAAAAATGTCAGATATTGAAATAATTGACACTGGTATCAGACGCAAAGGTTGAACAAGTCTTACATATATTTTTGACTTTCAAAGCAACTTTTTGAACTTTGTGAACACTTTGTGAAATTTGAGAAAAGGTGTATCCCCAATGTACATGTTTGGAGAACATTGTATAAATCTGGACTATGTTTTGTTCCGTTTCAGGGAGGGGAGCACTGCTATTACCAGGGCAAGTTACGAAACTCACCAGGATCCTGGGCAGCGCTCTCCACCTGCCACGGCCTTTGGTAACACATTGCTTAATAATAAAAAATACAGTATATACTGTATATATTTATACCTACCTGCGTGCCTTTTCAAAATGCCAAATCATCAATTAAATTTTTTTTTATAGTGGCATGTTTTCCGACGGCTTCTTTTCATATGGCATCGAACCTGTTCAGAATGGAAGTGTCCGGGTAACTATTAAGTGTCTTATTTGGTTGCAATGTTTAGAGTATGTTCTGTTTTAGACATATTTTTATAATTTTTCTTGAAGGAAAACAGTGCTCACTTAATTCGCCGGATGCCTGATATCAGACTTACTCCAAAATGTACAGGTATGATTTCATTATACCAAACATAATTATTGATCCAGACATTGTTTTTGCCTTATTTACAATAGTAAATAATACAAGAGGAGTGAGTGCATATTCTGGCTCTCCACATATGCACTCACTCCTCAATGATAAGAGGATTGTGGTCACTATTTTCCAATACATAGTCTCCACATGGAACAAAAATCCCAACCGGATATTGTCTCTGATTACTGAATCCATATTAGCCTTTTCTGGTAACAACAGCCATTTCTCGCAACCACTCGACTAATTCTGGTTGCCGTACTTCAGCAGGGTATTTCTTTCAGGGTTTTCAGCTGCTGAAACCAATATTTAGGAGTCTGAGAGTCTGAAAACTCAAAATAACAACGTAAAATTGCAGTATCAAAGTTTGAGTTCTAAATCAAAGTTAAGAGATGGAACCTTAAAGTTTTCTGACCGGTCTGAAACACCGCCAGATAGAGTCTGATTATTTTTCTGTACTCTGTACTGTTTTTACTGCATTTTTGAATAATTTATTCCTGCCCTTTTTGAGAAAAAAATAAACTATTTATTTTTAAACAAAGTAAAGGACCCCAAACCTTTGATCAAAGTGGTGGAATCCTCTCAACAACTAAGTCAAATTAGCAATACACCAGAACCAGCTGGTGTTTTGTCAACGTCAGAAGCTATAGTTGTGCTGTGTCCTGAGGAAGTGCAAAAGTAGTTTATGATCAGTGCTGTTATTTAAGCCCTCTGTGATCTTTTTGCTCGTCTGTTGCTGTCTTCAGACTGTGTGAAGGAAGGTGGGAGTGAGAGCAGAGTAGGTGACACCACACACACACTGTGGAGAACCAAGCGATATGTCCGCAGACCCTCTGTCCAGACCGAGACCAAATACATCGAGCTCATGGTGGTCAACGACAATGAAATGGTGAGAAAAACACCGTCGCAGCCATGTCATTGTTTTGTCTAAATCTATGGTAGTAACACTGGACACATAAAAACTCTTGGGATGCAAAAATAAAATACCATATCAAATACAAATCAAAATCAACTTTGCAATTTGAATTTCATAAAAGGGATGCTCCGAAACTCATATGAGATTATTTCTATGAACTAATACATATGCTGTCAAAGTTAACCTGTAGGGTTTGATTGTAATTGAAACCCTGAATGGAATTGTGATTAATTGCGCAGCTCTAGGAAACAGTTACGTAATTGCAAACACAGCATTTATATAAACTCATTGCGGCGAATAATTAAAATGTGAGGAATTTGTGACAAAGTGGGAAATATGCTTGAGTGCTACAAATTGGGATCCGTCTGCTTCTTTACCACTGAATAAAACTACTGTATGAGGATGCCTACTCTCCCCCATTGCGATTGTCAAGGAATTTAAATCTCCCCATCTCCGCAATCTATTGTCAAACAAACTATGAAGGAGTATTATTCCAAGTTTCAGCTGACCTACAGAGGTGGTCTTCTCTTCGCTCACATGTTTTATTTCTTAGTTTTTTTTTATGATCCCACTTCCACCCCCGTCTCGCTGCTGGGATGGGATTCTCGGTAATGTAATGTGATAGAGCTGCAGGCGGATTGTCACTTCCAAAATTACATCACTGGGCTTTTGTTCTGCCACCTCTGTTTGTTTGGATTGATAGTTTAGTCAATGCGTTTTTTCGAGCTTTATATGAGGAATTAGCACATTCTTTGGCTTGATTATATGCTATATCACTTTAATGCAGATTTATCGCAACATTTTATTACACATCATTTTGTAGCCTTAATAATTTTTGTTACTTTGTCTGATTTTACCTATAACTTCTGTTGTCTGTTTGTTTTTCAGTTTGTTAAGTTGAAAAACAGCCAAACAAAGAACTTTGCCAAAGCAGTTGTCAACATGGCTGATGCAGTAAGTATTTAAATCTATAAAGGTATGTTTGATAATGCGTTTTCCCAGGACTTACTATGGAACTATAAGTTATTTTGAGCATAGGTTTTCATTTTATTAATTGTTGACTGATATAAAACCGCTTAATAGTAAGTAAGTAAGTAAGTAAGCTTTATTTATATATAAATAAAGCTTTATTAAATAATAAATAATAGAATTTATTATTGTCTTCAGTCTTCATGATTTGAGATTCAGTTCAAAAGTATTGATATAGCCCTAATAAAGTTTTTAACTTAATCAAAATCATATGCATTACCCAACTTCTGGCAAGAAACATGTCCCATTGTCCCAAATCTGTCTAAATGCTCTGTTTTAAAAATGTTTCACGTTATGATGTTGTTTTCTGGTCTCTCTTACACTAAAATGACAAGATCACGTTTTAAAGAAATTAAATGAACACAAACCATGCATCATATTTGTTCTTTACAATTGTTTTTTGGTTGGCAGATCTTCAAGGAGCAGCTGAACACCCGGATAGTGCTGGTTGCCATGGAGACGTGGACCTCTAAAGACCTGGTGCCGGTGGTGGAGGACCCTCTCGTCACACTGAAAAACTTCATGAAATACAGAAAAGAAAACATCCGCGAGCAGTGTGACGTTGTGCACCTGCTTTCGTAAGACCTGTCATTGATCCTCTTTTTGTCCTGCCGCAGAACCAGCATCTTACAATTGTCTGGTATAGAAGTAAAAAATAAAACCTTCTTGATGCACCTTGCTAAGCCGCAATATGTCTTTATGAAAGATTGAAATTCTGAAGGAAAGCGTTTTACCGGCTTGTCTTTATGAAGATGTTCCCACAGTATGGCATCAAGCGCTGATTTAAATACAGCTGTTTTAAAGCAATAAAAGAATTGCAGTTACCCTCAAAAATATGTATTCTCATGGTACGTTCACACTCGTTGGTCTGGTTCTGGCCTCGCTGTTGTGCAGATTTTTTGTGTGCACAATTTTGCAGGCTTTTTTCTCATGTGGCGTGTGTATACTCGAACATCATATACTACATCATAGAATCGTGAAGATAACAAGACAATTGCCATTTTTTGAGGCTTTTTTGCAGCTGTATTTTACTGTGTATGCACGGCAGCGCTCAGACCTACAAAGAACATGTTTGATAACTCCGTGATTTGCCTTCAGCAGTTGTGAGTTCAGGTGGTTTGAAAAGTGTGGGGTGAGGGGTTTTACAGCCTTAAAACATGGAGGAGCTACGTTGCAGATTTTGCCTTTTGTGAGTTATTTTTAGAGTATAACGGCTGGGGTGAATACAAAAATATATTGAATTGAATTGAATTGGTCCGGTTAGGGTGAACCAGAACCAAGTGTGAACGCACCTGTAGGAGACACATTTGGGCAATGTGTGAATGAATGCTTGTTTGGCTGGTGGAGGAGTAATGTGTGGTGTGTGTGTGGACGTGCATGTGTGTTTGCTGGGGCACGGGACAGGAGAGGGTGTTGGCCGCTATTATAGTTTTATGATTTATATGTTATTTTTATGGCTTACGTTTTTCTATGTATTTTTTCCTGTGTATTCTCCCCACATGTTCTGTGACCAGCATTCATTAATTAAGTGTAAGTTCATTAAGGAAAGCCCCTTGAGATTAATCATCTCATTTTCGAGGGGGTCCTAATCATAAATACAAACATGTAAACATACACACATACAAAACAATTTACAGAGCATTAAGAATAAGAAAAGAGAATTCCATGAAATTGAATCGCAACTGGATCTAGCCTCGCTCTTGTTTTTTTTTTTTGAAATAATTTAGCGCGTCATACACTTTTACTTGACTTTGACCAAGGCTAATGTATTGCAACTTCATTATTTGTAAACTTCACCTGATGCCTTTGTGCAGAGGTCGGACATTTCACAGCAGCAGAAGTGGGACAGCGTACACGGGAGGAGTGTGCTCTGTGACCAAAGGCGGAGGCGTCAATGAGGTGAGGAGACGATAAAGTGAAACTAAAGGAGAATCTTTTCTGAAGTCTTGTTTTTTTTCTAGTTTGGGAGTGTAGGAGCTATGGCCATCACGCTCTGCCAAAGTCTGGGCCAGAATGTTGGGATGAGGTGGAACAATTTACGCAATGCTGCAGGTAATGGCTGTAACGTTTCTGAAAGAGGAGTAACTTTTATCTAGAAAGAACAGTCTATGTGACCAGAGTTATGTATTCAAAGTTCAGGAATGAAAATCAAGTTATTGTGACAAACAAGTTGTTTTAAACATTGGTATTTTTTTGTTAAAACAGATATGAAATTGTTTTATTTGACTGTTTTTTTAACTGTTAAACATCCTAATGATTCAAATATTGATTATTACCTTCAATTAATGCAGTTATATTTTTTACACTTGTAAAATTATATATGTTGGTACAAAAATATATAATTCATACTTCAAACAAACAAACATGAATTATATTATTATTAGGGCTGTCAAAATTATCTCGTTAACGCACGTTAATTAATTTTTTTCATTAATCGCGTTAAAAAAATTAACGCATTTGACGCATGCCCATGCGTCCCATAATAACACTCAGAATGCCGCGGACACATGCGTGTGTGTAAGATGGGGACAGAGCAGGTAGGCCCTCTGGGAATTAAAGTTTCTAAAGAATACACGCGTGACCACGGGGCACTTGTAGTTTCCTGTATAACTCTGCATGAGGAGCTGCGGGTGCGACAGGACTCTGGACAGTTCCCACTTCCAGCGGCTGTGATCACGGCGAACGGCGCTGCGTAATGTGATCATATCCAAGACCACGCACAGAACTATTACAGAACCCTTCTCTAGTGTGCGTATGTGTCTTTGCGTAACCGATGCACACAATATGTACAGCGCTGAAGCTGGACTGCGGAGCCTCTGTCTCCTCCATGTCTTCTCCCAAAGCGCACTCGCTAAATTAAAGCTGAGGTACCTAATTTTCCTTTCGACTACCAGTTCATGTTATTTGTGCCAAAAAAAGTTATGGTGTGAGCAAATCAAACAGATTTAATGACATTCTGCTTCAGACAATTTTGAAATGTCCCTCATCTGTAACAAACAATGGTTTTGGTCTGAGTCTAAACAGAAAGACAGAATGTTAATAATGTTAATTCCATTTTATATGGATTTATTGTTAAAACAAACAAATACAGTACATATGTTCACTATGCTGTCATTTATCTTTCCATTCAAACAACCATTTACAGAAAAATATGGCATAATTTTGCCAATAGTTTGAAATGCGATTAATTACGATTAATTAATTTTTAAGCTGTAATTAACTCGATTAAAAAAAATAATCGTTTGACAGCCCTAATTATTATTATGATTTAATAATCAGCACTTGTTAAATCAGCCGTCAGAGCAGTGTTGGCATCATGCAGAAACATCTCTTTGTAAAACAAGTTATTGGTTTAAAAAAATATATATATTTATCCGATACATATCCAAGGGAGACAAAGCAACTGTATTTAATGCGTTATAAATTAAGATGATCAATCAATAATTTCAGCTCTAATTCATTAATTTGGTTTTTAGTTGTGCAACCAACCAGCCTTTTAGAAAAAACATTAAGAATTACCTGCTAATATAATCCTAGAATTTCCAACAGTTCCAATTTTAAAAGAGATTTATTCTTCAAGGTTGGCAGCTTTTAATTGTAATAAGATTTATGTTTGCAAAGGATTTAAATAATAGCAGTCTATGCAATTTGTGGATTGGATTTGAATACACAGCCCTGGTTAAGGCTTGGGTTTTTAAATCGCGGACATAAAGCACGGAGTGTGTGGTGGTGGAGATGGTGATGGTAAAGTCAGGATTGATGGCTGGAGTGAGTCGATGCTCTGCCGTAATTAGGCTTATATCCATTAGTCACCTGCATCTGGTGGTTAGAGCGAGCTGCCAATGAACAATAGGCCAGTGATGGATGTGGAGACAGATTCAAAACCATAATTCACAGATGAACCGGAGCCCACTGCACTCTGCGACGTCTCTGTGTGTAAAGCAGCGCGATAAAGAAGTCTATGTGGTTATAAATCAGACAGATGGAATACGGTGATGTGAAAACCTGTTCCCCTTATTCATATCATTCAATTATTGTTTGCTTGTAGTTCTTTTAGTTTGTAATTGTCTCAAAATTGTGGTAAGGCAAATAAACAGCCATTCGTTCAGGTCATATCTGTGATTCAAATATGGGGGCGTAACTGTATTAGTTTAGTCAATAATACATGTTGTTTGTCAAAGTAAAATGTTGTGAACAAATCAGACCACAACCAGCTGTCTTCATCTTATTGGAAACCATGTTATGTTTTGTTTTTCCCCATGTCTCACTATTTGACGCTTTGGGTTGAGATTGCCGATTGGCTGAGGGAGGCTGGTTCTCTATTTTTCAATTTTCTGTCTGAAAAAGCTGATCTAAATATGTGACAGGCCGAAAAATACCTGCAAATGAAAACTAGCGATGGAACCAAACTGTTATGAGAGTTGTTAAATTGATTTGATTAGATTAGATCATTTTTGTGTGGTTGAAAGGCAAGCTAAATATATTAAAATGCATAACAGTCCAGGACTCCCTTGAAAAAGAGGTTCTTAATCTCAATGGGACTTTCCTGGTTACAGTAAATAAAGGTGAAATAAAAAAAAAAAAAAAAGTGTTTAGAGGAAATGTACTGATTTTTAAAGCACTTTATTCTTAGAATCCTGTTTTCACCTCCACTTGGACATGTTCACTGTTTCTGACTAAAGTGTGAAGATACATGCACAAAGTTAAAAACTCTGCTTGTTTGGATTAATGTCAGTACTATTCAACATGGTTACAGTTACTGTCTTTACCTGTAGGTGACTGCAGATGTCCTGATGCCTGGTTGGGCTGCATCATGGAAGATACAGGGTAAAGCAAATAAGATCCCCTTGAATATACTTGCTGCAAAAAATATGTTATTGTACACAGATACATAATAAAAAAGGACATTTTGCTACAATGTTAACCATTAAACCATTTCTCACAAAATGTTTTACAGTGATTCATGCATGTTTGAATAAATTATATTCTCCTACGTTCATGTGACACCTCCTACCAAACCCATATTCATCATTACACTACACGGCCAAAAATCTTTTTCAATTTGTATATTTAATGTAATAATTATCATTGGGTGTCAAATGCATAACTACAATAATACTACAATAATTATAATACATCAAGCTTAGAAAATACTAGGCGTTGCAAAGTCATTTTTGCTATTTTACTTTCTGATTGATTTATCCCATTTTGTAAAAAAAAAGAAAGTGTTAATATTCTGCGTTCTGAGTCTTGTGGCATTTGTTCAATAGAATTCTGTTTATGCCACAGCTACAATCTGCCCAGAAAGTTTTCTCGCTGCAGCGTTGATGAGTACATTCAGTTCTTGCTTCAGGGAGGTGGGAGCTGCCTCTTCAACAAGCCCAACAAGGTGAGGGCCATGTGGGCTGTGGGCTGACTGCTTCTATCAGATATGCACTGAAATGCACAGCCTCCATTGAAACACTTCAAACCTGTGTGTGTGTGCGCATGTGTGCGTTTTCATGTGTGTGTGCAGCTTTTGGACCCGCCTGAGTGTGGAAATGGCTTTGTGGAGCCGGGAGAAGAGTGCGACTGTGGATCACAAGTGGTGGGTATATGAATATTTATAGTATATGATTATTGTAATAATAAATATCTTGTGTAGAAGTGATAACCTTTTGAGTCATCAATTGTAAGTCAAAACGCACAAATTAAAAGTTGGAATGGAGGACTGTGGAGCTGTCCCTGCGTTTGTTTGACTCAATGGATCACTTCCCACAAAAGCAAGTTTAGGAATGTGGTGCTGTGAAATGGTGCTTTCTGGAATAATAATGATTCAAGGCCCACTTGGAGGGTCTTTAATGGACAAAAATCCTTTACGTTCCTCCTTTTGATGTTTATAATTTTAAAATTGGTACAATGTACATGAGAAAAACCCTGCGAGCAAAGTCACAGTCAACAGTCTCTGGAATGTTCCTGTGTCTTTATAGGAGTGCGCTCGCAATGGAGGATCCTGCTGCAAGAAATGTACACTTACCCATGATGCCATGTGCAGCAATGGACTCTGCTGCAGCAGCTGCAAGGTAAAATTTCACTTTATAGAAAAAACACTTTCCAGATCAAATACAGTTTTTTATCAGAGTCAACAAGCATCATATTTGAAACTGGTTTAAAATATTCTGGGCCAATATTATGCATAAATGTACAGTATTTTTTGCAGTTTTAACCCAAAAGACACAGACGTCTATTATGTGAAAATAAATCCATTAAATATCAGAACTGTGATCTGAATCCGTGGAAGGAGCTTGTGTAGGTGCTACATAGACTTGATAGTCCAAAAAAAAAATGTTTCCAGGTTGGAACATTGACTGATCATGTAGAGAATCACTGTGCTAGATTGTAACTATTAATAATATATTTTCAGTATGAACTGAGAGGAGTAGTGTGTCGTGATGCTGTGAATGACTGTGACATCCCTGAAACCTGCACCGGAGACTCAAGCCAGGTCAGTTCAACAGCGCCTTTTTTTCTTGCTCTAGGTTGTTCATGTTTTCGTAGACCAGTATTTTATGTCACATCAAACAATTGGTTTGAATAGCGATGCAGCTTCATTCCTAAAATCACTTTACAACATCACACATGCCTTATCAGCAAATCTTCTTTGGCGTGGTCCCCAGGTTTACCATGCCCCTAAACGATGCTCACACACTTTAAATCAAGTCGAGGGTCTTTTCCAACCCTAACATTAGACCCACTGCTCCACGACCGGTGGGGGCGCTGATCAGACATGACACACCACACGTTACGAGAAGCTTCTGAAAAATAATATGTTTTTGTATTTTTGTAGTGTCCTCATAATGTCCATAAACTCGATGGCTACTCGTGCGACATCAGCCAGGTGAACATACATTTGTTTTTAATAACTTTAAGCACGTCTTTGTTTTACAATATCCTCACTGTCTTTTTTAGGGCCGATGTTATGGCGGACGGTGTAGGACTCGAGACGGCCAGTGCAAAGGGCTGTGGGGATATAGTAAGAAATTTACCTTTATTGATATCCATCAGATTTGAATCCAGACATATCTCAGTATAATATTATGTTATTATTATATCTGTTTTAATTTCAAATACATTTTCTTTACATTGTTGTCATTGACTGTGAAGCAATAGTAAGAATCAATTCAATTAGATGACGGGGGAAACATTTTTCTAGTACTAGAATTGAGGGAAGTTAAAAATATAAAAAATATTAAGTCTGTGTTGTGGTTTTATTTTTAGATTCTGCTGATAGGTTTTGCTATGAAAAATTGAACGCAGAGGGGACAGAGAAGGGGAATTGTGGGACCAACCCTGACGGACAAGGCTGGCTCCAGTGCAACAAACCGTGAGTGAAGAAAATCCTGATAAAACAGTTTATTTTCTCGTTTTGAAATAATAACAATTCATATTTCTTCCTATTATTAATCTTTATAGGGATGTTTTATGTGGCTTTCTATTCTGTACCAATGTTACCACGAGTCCAAAGTTTGGTGACTTGAGCGGAGAGTTGACCAGCTTCACCCTTTATCACCAGAACAAGTACTTGGACTGTCGGTGAGTACAAGTCTATGATGTGCTGCGCCATGTCCAATTTTATATTTAGGTTTTAGTCGTGATGCTTCATGTGTTCCAAAAGGAATTCAAAGTGTCCACGACTGGCTGAAACAAGCAAAACCATGACTATTAAAGCTGCACTAACTGACTTTATTTTTGTATTCATTATGAAAATTCAATCCATATCCATGCAGTGCATTGGGATATACGTCCTTTTGAAGAAAAAGTTGCGCAGATTTGTGCTGGCGTGTCATTTAATTTTAGATCACAGCGGACCACTGGCCCCCACTTTCTTGAGAAAAGCTACAGGTCTCTCGTTAGCACAGACAGCTCAGGCAAACAAGCGGCGGAGGCTAACCTGAAACCTCCCGTGTCTTCGTCACCGGTTTTTGCTTGCACAGCGACACAGCCATCCAAAAGAAAGTCTCGTTCCTCCGCGCCTCCCGGTTCAATCATTCTATGGTCACGCCATCCACGTTCAGATGTGTCCATTTTGTGAGACGTGAGCTCCATATACAGTTAGTGTGAGCAGAGGCTCGCGAGGGAGGAAAGTGGGGGGCGAAAACTCCGTGCGGGTAGGGCGAGCAGAGAGAGCAAGCTCAGCGTTCTGATTCGAAAGGTTCTCAAAGTCAGTTAGTGCAGCTAAACTATTATACTCTTAATGACTATTTATCTTTGATGTGCATTTTGACGTTACATCGCGAAACAACAATATTCTAAGTTTCTGAGTTCCACCTTTATGTGTGTATCTGTATTAATTCTATCACAAAAATATTACTTAATATGAGTTGAGACAGAAAGACAAGGTACAACTGATTTAACCCCTGCCCTCTGGATAGTACTGTAGTATCGTCTTGATTGCATAATATCCACAGACCACAGAGTTATAAATGCTGAGTTTATTATAGCTATAGTAGTAAAACGTAATATCTTTCTCAGAGGGGGACACGTTCTGCTGGAGGATGGCTCAGATCTGGGCTATGTGGAGGATGGCACCCCCTGTGGTCCAAACATGATGTGTCTGGAGCGACGCTGCCTCCCGGTGGTCACCTTCAACCTCAGCACCTGCCCAGGCTCCAACTCCATCCGCATCTGCTCAGACCACGGGGTACCATTTTAGGCATCTCTATTTCACTTATAAGACTGAAAAGTGAAAATAGCTTTTTTTTTTTTATTGTAAAGAAGTCCATTAACAACAAGTTATCAAAAATACATTTTTTTTATTTATTTAAAGGTGATGTCTGCATTGTATTTCATTTTGAACACATATTTTTGACCATGTACCTGTAGGAGTATAAGCACAGGAAAGAACTGAGTCTATTGTTTTTGAGCCGATTTCTGAATTTCTCTGACGGGGGATCAATTAAGTATCTATCTATCTACCAATACAGCAGCCAATTACAGAATATGCATTTGTACATTTACATACTGTATTTATGGTGACAGGACATAGTAGTACTCTAATATTTCCTGTTGATTGTTTTGCAGACCTGCAGTAACGAGGTGAAGTGCATCTGCGACCGCGACTACACCGGGAAAGACTGCAGCGTGTTCGACCCCATTCCTGAGCCCACTGTGCCAACAGGGCCCGAGAAGAAAGGTCCAACACTAACTATTATCTTTCTCTTTTTGCCTCTCGTGTCCTCCTCATTGTCCTGTAGCCTCTCCATATTTCACACTAAGACGAGCCGTCAGAAAGGTCATTTTCAGGCCGTGCTGTGTTTTCCTGTGGAGTATTTCAGTGTCCTGTGTGTGTGTGTGTGTCTGTATTCTATAACAGTGTGATATTGAAACATGACCAGCTATAGCATCGTGAATTCAATTGAATCCAGTGGTAGAAAAAACTATAAAGGCAGAAAACAGCTCTGTCCTTGATATTTTCAGGGGATTCAAATGTAACAAGTTTGAAAACAGGCCATTTAGACAGAAGTTTGCACTGATGTGGTGTGGAGATTCGGATTCCTTCTCTCTTGAGCATCTGCAGTAGAGAAAGATTCTAAACAGTATCTAACCAGAGGATTTGAGCATTATTTCATAATGCCACTAAGCAGAGAAAAGTTAATTTCATGAAACAAGTTACGTCACCACAGTGTTGCGGAAAGAGGCCATGGGGCGGCACTGTTTCTCCTTGTTTCCGAATGAGTGTCCTCCAGGTGCTCCAGGTTCCCCCACCACCAAAAACTTGCAGCTGTATGAACATGGTGAGTGATGATGGCGGAGGGACAGAATAGTGAAGTCTCTTGAGAGATTTCAACAAGCCTGAAAAAGTGCTTAATAAGTGAAAACTATTATTATCATATTGTTGTTATGAAGCAGCTGATGCACGATTCCTCCTAATGCCATGGCTGCTGTATTTGTGAGCGGGAAGTATCAGACTTTCAAATCACTTTGTCAGGTCCAATAAACTGTGGCCTTAACGCACAGTTTATACACATCTAATGCACTTAACATGATTATTTGAGCCTTTTCCCTAGACTCTTAAAAAAGTATTCTAAAATCAAGTTAATTGCCATTGACCATTGATCTTGATTCTTCAAGATATATTGAAGAATCAATATATCTTGATTCCAGATATATTCAAAATACGTTTTTACAAATTCAGAATTATTTGTGACTAAAATGATTATTATGATCCGTAAGCAATAGAAAGTTGCAACAAAAATAATGTTTGGGTTTCCTAATAACCACTGATCAAAACTCAGGCATAACAAGGTTTAAAATTGAATGAATTATAAGATTGAAAAATAATTAACTAGCAAAAGACGTCTACTGTATCTGGTGCATTCCCCACAGTTTGAAATGGAACATCTGCTTCTCTATAGAAACTGTAGTTTTTATTTTTGAGTGACTTGTCAATTACTTTCACATTGAAGGTCTGTTTTAAATCACTAAAATAGCTGTATGTTTTGTTTGATACAGATTTTTTATGTCTCACCGGCACACTTTCATCAGCCTCTCAACACATGTACAGTAACTATCACTCCTGTGCTGGGCTTCCTTTGGTGAAGCTGAGGGTGCTGATAATTTAGGATTTTCGCTCAAAATCGTTGTTGCTTATTTCTCCCTGAAACATTAGCTACCCTGTGTTAGAATTTGATCCCATCCATTAAAATCCCCCAGTTTTTATTCATACATAAGTGGAGAGTCATGCTTGTTGCTTCTCATCTGTCTCTCTGTGACAGGGATGTCAGGAATATTTAATTGGAAGAACTAAAATTACCATCCGTCCATCTGTCTGTTTATATTATAGTATTTACAAGTTTGGTCTTATTTCAAGCTCAATAATTTTTTATTCAAATATGAATATTTATTTCTTTTTGTTGCAAATTTAAGTCCAGATATACATTCATGCTAAACTTTAGTCAATTAACACTTTAGGGCTTCTTTGAGCTAGCAAGTTAGCATTGGCCATCTGCATACAGTCTATGGTCACATCCCTATTCTGTTGTGTCTCTTCTGTCTTATTAGTCACGTCTCTCCTCTCGGTGGTTGCGTGGTGTTGACGCTGTGTTTTCTGTGGTGTTGTTTTGATTCTTGCTCCTCCCCCTTTATGCCCCGCCCCTCCTCCTTCCTTTGTGCAGGTCCCAGTGGCACCAATATCATAATAGGGTCCATCGCAGGTGCAATTCTGCTGGCAGCTATAGTCCTAGGGGGAACAGGCTGGGGATTTAAGTAAGCGCTCTGGCATGCCTTTACTCTCTGCTTTCACGGGACACACGGGACATGCTGTTTTTACGATTGCTTACAGCCTTTTTAACCTAGGCCTGTCACGATAGCACATTTTCAAGTCCGATATGTTGGGACAAGGGATGGGACTATAACTGGTATTAAAGTATTCAGTGTCATAGCTCATTTCTTTCACTAAGAAATGCAAAAAAATTATGCATGCACAAATCATGAATCCCTTTTTGCCCTGAATTTTTAGGATCAAAAAGCCCTTTTCTATAAGCACTGATTTTATATATAGATATTTATCTGAGAAATAAAAGTAATCATACATTACATCAATTTATACTGTCCCATCCTGAATTGCAACAAAAATATACTCCAATGGCAGTGTTTCCCAACAACAGGTACAGGAGAACTTAGCAAGCTGTACTTTTCAACGTATTCAAATTGCGTTTGATTTAAATTATGTAAATGATAAAATATGTGGTACAGTATTTAGCTGGTTTAGAACACATAACACTATATTCTTCTTATAAGACAATAGTTATAAAGCATTTGAAGGGTATGTGGTGTCCTCAAGACCAAAAAGGTTGGGAAACACTGAACTAAAAAAGTTCTAGTTTAAACTAAACAGTTTAAAGTAACAATAAAGCAGTTGAAAAAGCACTTTATCTGTGCAGTGTTGTTCAAATGCCTGAGCCGCAACACATGTAATGATTATAAGCCATACTGTTCCTCAAATAGTGTGTTGCTGCTAATACAACGCAAACACCATAACTATAGAGCCTCAAAATATCTGGTACCAGCATTAGTTCTTAACAAAATCTCGATATAATCATTATTGTGGCAGGTCTAGCTGAACTTCATACCAAACATCACACTTTTGCTATTTATTTAACCTAAGAACTTGCATCTTGCCTTCACTCCCTTCAGAGTAAAGTTTAGCTGCTTTTACTATATCCCAATATCTGCTACACCACGGCACATACTTGGCTTGACTTTTTGCCACGTCGCCAACTCAAAATGCATTGGATTACAAATAATCTTTAACCAACATGCATTGCCTTTGGTGCTATTTTAGCCTGCATTGTCCCATATTCCCTTCCCCTGCATGCTTGCTATAGTCACCTCTTATTCTCTGGCCTGAAAAGGACAACGTGCGCTTTAAAAGCTCTCCTAAGTTAAACTGTTGAAGGCAAATTATTTGAGTTGTCCTTTTTGGCTTGGGGTAAGTGTGTGTGCGGTGCATGTGTGCATGAGCTGTTAGACAAAGACAGATTTCCTCATATTGTACCGAAGTACTGTATAACGTATGTCACTTATTCTCAAGATGATTCTATGTGGATAATCATAGTAGTTATTATGTAGGAGAAAGAAACAGAATGGTGATAGTGCTATGAAACTGCAGACTGAGACTGAGGTTATCAAATGTCTTATGTCGAACCAAAACCACATAAGATCACAAGAAAGTACATCTTAGAGTTTGATATTGTATTATAACTGATCTGTTAAAAAGTCTGTGATCTAGATTATTGCAGTTTTATTATAGAGTTTACTGGTATTTAATTTTTTCCATTGCGCTATCCAAATATGTTCTATTAGTTCTATATCAATAAAGTTGCCTTGTTATTTGAGTTCTTGATAAATGATTAAGTTAAGGAAGTTTAGTTTGCAGCTTTACATCACTCAGTTAAAAGTGATTTTGAAGCGACGCCTAGTGGACAATGTTAGTACTGTGCACTGTACTCTGAACACAACATCATTTTCTCAGTCTCAGGACAAACCGTAATTGAATGTTTTTCTTATATAATTTATGTTGTAAGTATATACAGAATGAAGTATATGAATCTGGAGGGTGTTTTTCATATGATGCACTTCAGACATTTTCATAGTGCACCTTTAATCTTTGTCACAGTAGATTTGAAGTGAGTTTGTCTTAACCATGTGTATTTTTACTTTCTGTTCTTCTCGGTATGCAGGAACATTCGAAGAGGAAGGTATGAAGCTTAATTTAACTGAAATTAACATTATTAGAACTAACCCTTTAGGGGAAAGGGTTTTTAGTAATAATATTAATCTAATACATGCTCTTCACTAACAATGGAGCTGACAGCAGGTTTCTATGGTAGACTATAGTAACAGTGAATGTGCTCTTGTGGTTTGAGGACAGGAAAACCTACAGTAAACTATGGCACCAGTGATAATGGACTTAATTGGACCATTGTGGCATCACTGCAGTCTTTTTATGCTTTGCCGTAGCTCTGCAGTGGCTATGGTTAAAAGTCATTTTACAAATAATCTATCTTTTACACTGTAGCTTTTTTTACAAAGGCTTTCTGACATATCGGAGTTGGATGTGTTTGAAAGTTTACTTCTCCTTTCTATGTTTGGAAATCATATTTTATCTTCTTTCTTTAATTTCCCCCTCACGTCTCTCCCTCAGATCGGGTGGTGGTTAATCATCTCGTCTCCTCGTGTCTGTCCTGTCTGCTCCTTTCTTCCTCCTCTCACTGTGTCAAATCCACATCTGGAGAAAAACTCAAAAACAGGGGATCAACCAAGTCTTCCACCCGCGCCCCAAACATCTGCCCCAGCTCAGCCTCTACCACCCGCGCCCCAAACATATGCCCAAGCTCAGCCTCTACCACCCGCGCCCCAAACATATGCCCAAGCTCAGCCTCTACCACCCGCGCCCCAAACATCTGCCCCAGCTCAGCCTCTACCACCCGCGCTCCCAAACATCTGCCCCAGCTCAGCCTCTACCACCCGCGCCCCAAACATATGCCCAAGCTCAGCCTCTACCACCCGCGCCCCAAACATCTGCCCCAGCTCAGCCTCTACCACCCGCGCCCCAAACATATGCCCAAGCTCAGCCTCACCACCCGCGCCCCAAACATCTGCCCCAGCTCAGCCTCTACCACCCGCGCCCCAAACATCTGCCCCAGCTCAGCCTCTACCACCCGCGCTCCAAACATCTGCCCCAGCTCAGCCTCTACCACCCGCGCCCCAAACATCTGCCCCAGCTCAGCCTCTACCACCCGCGCCCCAAACATATGCCCAAGCTCAGCCTCTACCACCCGCGCCCCAAACATATGCCCCAGCTCAGCCTCTACCACCCGCGCCCCAAACATCTGCCCCAGCTCAGCCTCTACCACCCGCGCCCCAAACATATGCCCAAGCTCAGCCTCTACCACCCGTGCCCAAAACATCTGCCCCAGCTCAGCCTCTACCACCCGCGCCTCAAACATCTGCCCCAGCTCAGCCTCTACCACCCGCGCCCCAAACATCTGCCCCAGCTCAGCCTCTACCACCCGTGCCCAAAACATCTGCCCCAGCTCACCCTCTTACACTCCCGTGCCTGCGTGTCCTCCTCCGTGTGGTCTTCTTCAAACCAGCCAGAATCATGTGGGTGGAGCCTGGAGCTGGTGGTGCCTCCTGTTGGCATCATCAACGTCTTCCTCAGTGGCTTTTTACAAACAATCGTGCCGTTCTGTGTCGATGCCAGTACTAAGAACTTCATCAGCTATTATTTCATTTTGAGAGTTCGGTTTAGGAGATAATTCTTCTATAAAATACTTCAAATAATATTACTATGAAGATAAAGGAAAAATTATTGAGGCTATATTAAATTGTTGCTCCAAGAAAGAAAGAAATATAGTTAACCATATGAAGTTGGATTCTTCCAGTGTTTTGGCCTATAGGTTTTCCTATTGGTGAAAAACATGCAATAATGTGAGTTTATAGGGATTAACTCGGATTAATTGATTGTTTTAATTAAAAAAGCAAATTTGAGGATCGTCAATAGAGTTATGAAGAGTAAAATGACAGTTTGTTACAAAAGCTAATGGAGAGAAAAATATAAATCACAAAACAGCAACTTCATTCGATAGAGCCACATAAATACGCTGTCACAACCGTCTATTTGAAAAGTTAAAAAAGTTGAACTGGATGAAAACAAAAAAGGAAAGACCAAATACATTGATGACACCGGATTCATGTTATGTTACAAAAACTGAAAAAATATATAAAACTAGGGCTATTTTCAAATAGTTTTCATCAATAATGAGATTTGTGTTGTTAACATTAAATAATATTCACATGTCATCGAAGTATATCACACAAAAGCACAATGAAATGTGACATGATAGAATGGGCTTCAGAAAACGCTCTCAAAATGAAATAAGTCTCTCACGTAAAGATTCCTCTTCCGTGGTATCTCCTCTTCGTCACAAATGCAGTTTGAAAAGAACATATCAACTTGGACCAATTCCAGCAGACTCTAACTGATGCCTGCCCACATGGATATCAACAAAAGACCCGAAGGAAAACTGCATATCGGAGTGATCAGTTTACTTTTTTTAAGTAACGGACCTGGATTCTTTGAAATGCCAGGCGTCGACTTGGTGGATCGCAAAATGAACAAGAACTTTAGGTTAACACCTTTTTTTGTTTTGTTTTCCAAAGAAGGACAGAAACCAAGTGAAACAAGCCAGATCCAACGTGATTGTCCAGCTAATTGTTACTTGTTATCTGAACTTGAAGCATCTTGCCTGCCACCCCACAAGATTTCAGGTATGAAGGAAAAAAATAGAAAAATGTCTAGCGTTTTTCACCGACCTTAAAAATCAACAACGACCGCAAACTTAGTGTTTTTTAGCCACAGACTGACCAACATACAAGCGCCGCAATAACAGGTTTTAACCATGTGGGAAAGAAATGTCAGCAGTTCAAAACAGACAGTGATGTAAACTAGAAACCTCTGTTATGGAAATGTGCTAAACTTGTTTATTACAAATGTTCATTTTGACTGAAGGTATAAAATTATATTTCTGGATTTTAGTTAAGTTTATTCACTTTTTAAACTTTAAGGAGAAGAAAAGTACCTGTAATGTATTGGTTAATGCTTTTTCTGGCTTCTTACTCTTTAATCCTACTGCACTTTAACCCTATCATTGCCGCAATAGAGACAAATTGAGTATATATTTTGATTTGATAATGCACAAAAACAATTCATTTATTTTTTGTTAATAACAACCCAATACAGTGGTTCCCAAAGTGGGGGTTGGGATACTTTGGAGGTTGGAAGATGGTTTTATGAATATACTTTTAAAATAAAGACACGATAAAATCATTTTCTGAATACACATTTTCTGAAACAAGATTAAATCGCATCCAATTATTATACAAACAACTGTCTGTGGGTGTCCTGGTCTGAAATGTTTGGGAACCCCATGGTAGGTGATAATCCAAAGAAAATATAAGCATTTTTGTCTCTTACTAAAATTAGATCTGAGGGAGATTCTCAACTAGAGGTGGCAGTTGACAGGCAGTCCACTTGTGGCTCTATGGGCCACAAGAATTGACAATGAACCCTCAACCAACCTCCTGATCTCCTTTTAAACATTTAAAACATAATCATAAAGAAGTAATTATTCATACAAAAAAGTTATTCAGAAGTTAATTTGTTGAAAAGCAAATGTAACTACAAAATCTACTAACCTGAAAATGCCAAATGTAATTATGTAATGTAAATATTTTTTGGGATTGCTCGTGTTTTTGCTGCTGGAACATTTCTCTTTCCCACTTTGTTATTACGTGTTGTTTTTGTGCCACATTCCACACTGTCTGTGTCTGGTCACCTTATTACAGGCCAAATGTTTGTATTCGCTTTGACTTTGTCTGAATGTGTCACTTTTGAATGAATGTACGAGAGGAACTGATGCCAGATTTTTAACAAGACGATATTATGGGGTTCATTTTGTGTCTTCGGATTTATTTTGACATAGTGTATATTTTATTCATATGAACTGCTTTTAAAGAACATCCAATTATGACGTGTGTAATCATATGGATGGATTCAATTATGAAGTAAACAACCGCCAAAATTTCATGTTAAACTCAAATTCATATTATATAAAGAATACTTTGATTAACATGTTTTTAACCTGGATTAATCTGTATAACTAATCTGTTACATAGAAATATTTCTGCGTTGCAAAAATACTGTTCTGAAGGAAGCAATCTGAATCTACATTTTGAAGAAGTTTGTGCATAAAATAAGTTTTAGTTTTTCTAAAATATATATTAAATACATTGTTCATAGATTACTCTAACATCCGTCAAAGGTAATAATCTATAGAATCCCGTGATTAGTAAAAGAATCATCAGCTGCAGCCATAGTAACGGTATTATAATTTTACTACAAATACAATAAATATAACAGTAAAAATACATAATACTTCCACAATACAATCTACCTTTGTTGCCAGTGTCTTACCTGACATTTAAGTTATTTAGGTAGCCACCAAACCCTCTCAATTTCACTATAGAACTGGCAACCCAAATGAAAGAAGAATTATCACATAAGTCTTTCTGATTGGACACACACTATTTATGATAAAAATAAAATGATATAATAATATGGCCTCATGTCTGTTGTTTTTGCAATTAAGAATAAATATGCATTTGAATGTTGGTGAGAAAAGGCCAAACAATAATACTAATTTATTGATAACTATAAGTTTCTTTATAATAACAATCCTTCGTACTCTTCCTTTAAGACAATCAGAATATTCTTAAAGTAAGATAAATTGTGTCTAAGTTAAGCAAATTGGAACGTGGCATTTTCAACCGAAGTTGTCCGTCCCCTAAAATCTCTGTTCAAAAGTGATTGTTCTAAAGACACAAAATGACTTCCACCGGTCGCCTGATTGTTTACATTGTTGCTTAAAAAAAACCTTTTAACATTCCACCTATGTTAAAAGGATGGTGGTTTTTTTACCTCTCGATACCATCTTTGTACGAGTCCATGTGCTGCAGCCTCGGCTCCACAGGCAGCACAATAATATGAAGTAAATGAGCCGTTTTTATGTCTCTCTAAGCACTAGCCAACTGTACACACACACCATTTTGTAAATACGTGCAAGATATATTGAATGTTTATGGCACTGTTTAGAAAAATATTTAGCGAAAAAAATGACATGCCACTTCTCAGTCAACATCACAAACAGTCTTACCACTTTTTTGCTTTCAGAAATCACTGCGTCTCATGAATTTTACAGCCATAGTAAAAAAAAAGTTTTGTACATTTGTTGATAGCTCTATTGCAGGGTGATTGCTAGAGACTTTATAAAGATTCCCATTGTAAAGAGATTAATACATACATAAAACTAAAGAAGTTCTAATGGGATTTTGCACTATGAGGATCATTCTTTTCGAGGACATGTACAAAGTTGGTATCAGATACAGTTTGATCCTTTTGACTTTGAAGAGTTAAAAAAGACTAAACGCGATGCATCCCTACCCGTATTTTTAGACTCTGCGTTTTTGAAAACAGATTTAAAAAAGAATGACTTGGACTCCAGGCTTGTAGGCAAAATAAAATATTAAAACATGAAACCACTCTCTCATCTCAGTGTCTGTTTTTTAGGTATAATGTCAGAATCGCCTTCCTGAATATGCAGTAATGAGGTGTTTTTAACCTTTCAGCAAATGTCTTTTTTGATTTAGAAATATTTTTTATTACGAATTTAGTTTTTCTTTGTATTTATTTTTGTTTTAATTAGAGAATTGATGGAGATTGAGTCAATATGTTCCTGAAAGTTATCAATACACCACTTCCCCGCTATGGTAGCCTGGCCTTAGCCTCCGGTCAATTATTATTTCCCTACACGTATTAAAATTAGTTTGATTTCGTAAGATGGGGGCGACTGTGGCTCAGTTGGTAGAGCATTGGCCTTTGGGCCTGAGGATAGTGGGTTCGAGCCCACCACGAGACCTACTGCACGACTCCCACTGATGCCTGCTGTTGTTGTGTCCTGGAGCAAGACACTTAACCCCACTTTGCCTGATGCCCTCGCTGAAAGATCAAGGCAGCTCAGGCTAGAGCAGTCGTCCTCCTGTGGACTCACCACCTGCAGGAGGATCAGTGAGGGGCCGGTGCTCTGTGAATTGGGTGTAGCTCTGACTGCCACCCCCTGACCCAGAAATGGATTAAGGGGAAGAATATGGATGGATGAATGGGTTTGGTAAGACCAGGCTACTGCTATGAGTAAAGAGTCGTATTCCAAACGTTGGTGTCCATGCTGAAAATTATACGTTTTGATGATTTTTGCACCAAAAGACTGGAACGAAACTGAAAGGATATCCATAGTCAATTTCACCTCACCTGCATGTTAAATCTTGAGCCTGTCAGGTCTCAGAAGTTAAGCAGGACATGACTTGGTTAGTAATGTGATGGGAGACCTATAAGAAGATCAGGAGGGTACAGCTGTAAAGTGCCAACGGGCTGTTGTGTTCTTACAAGACATAGAGTGAATAAGTGTTGTCATGTGAGGTGTAGATGAAGGAGATATGTGTAAAAAATCTGGCCAAAATGTGCTTTACAATTTTTATATGTCTTGCTTTTTTTCTACATGAGATGTTGCTACAGTACAGTGTGCATAGTTTTCCACTGGTCGAGACTAGAGCGGAGAGGATTCATGGTCCGAACCAAGCGGATCAGCCGAAAATCCACTGGAGGAATGCAACCTTTTTGAAAAAAGCTAATGAAGCATTTAGC